ACACACAGTTGGTCTGTGCATTTAACGATGACACAAGAAATTACCACATTTTCATTCCGGTCGGGACAAGTGTGAGGCACAGTGTGCAAAGCAACACATCTGCTTCAGGACCTCAGAGTTCACCAGGACACTGAAAAACAACTGAAGCACAGACACAGACTGAAGCACAGACTGAAGCACAGACACACAGACTGAAGCACAGACACAGACTGAAGCACAGACTGAAGCACAGCACAGACTGAAGCACAGACACAGACTGAAGCACAGACTGAAGACACAGACTGAAGCACAGACACAGACTGAAGCACAGACACAGACTGAAGCACAGACTGAAGCACAGACACAGACTGAAGCACAGACTGAAGCACAGACACAGACTGAAGCACAGACTGAAGCACAGACACAGACTGAAGCACAGACACAGACTGAAGCACAGACACAGACTGAAGCACAAACACAGACTGAAACACAGACCTTAGATGAGTCCAGGTGTCGATGCAGCGCCTCGAAGTAATCCGCCAGAGTCCCGAACTGGGCCTAGACCAGGATTACAGTTAGACCAGACTAAACCAGGTCTAAACCAGGACTAAACCAGGACTAAACCAGGACTAAACCAGTACAAAACCAGGACTACAGTTAGACTGGTTTAAACCCGGTCTAAACCCGGTCTGACCTGGACGTGCAGCTCGGGGCTCTGGTTCAGGTCTAAACCCGGTCTGAAACCCGGTCTAAACCCGGTCTAAACCCGGTCTAAACCGTTAAAACCCGGTCTGAACCCAGTCTAAACCCGGTCTGACCTGGACGTGCAGCTCGGGGCTCTGGTTCAGGTCTAAACCCGGTCAAACCCGGTCTAAACCCGGTCTAAACCCGGTCTGAACCCAGTCTAAACCCGGTCTGACCTGGACGTGCAGCTCGGGCTCTGGTTCAGGTCTAGAACCCGTTTCCTTCAAAACCCTATTGCTTACCGGTTTAGACCTGAACCAGAGCCCCGAGCTGCACGTCCAGGTCAGACCGGGTTTAGACCGGGTTTAGACCGGGTTTAGAAGCCAGTCTAACTGTAGTCCTGGTTTTGTACTGGTTTAGTCCTGGTTTAGTCCTGGTTTAGTCCTGGTTTAGACCTGGTTTAGTCTGGTCTAACTGTAATCCTGGTCTAGGCCCAGTTCGGGACTCTGGCGGATTACTTCGAGGCGCTGCATCGACACCTGGACTCATCTAAGGTCTGTGTTTCAGTCTGTGTTTGTGCTTCAGTCTGTGTCTGTGCTTCAGTCTGTGTCTGTGCTTCAGTCTGTGCTCAGTCTGTGTCTGTGCTTCAGTCTGTGCTTCAGTCTGTGTCTGTGCTTCAGTCTGTGCTTCAGTCTGTGTCTGTCTTCAGTCTGTGTCTGTGCTTCAGTCTGTGCTTCAGTCTGTGTCTGTGCTTCAGTCTGTGCTGTCTGTGTCTTCAGTCTGTGCTTCAGTCTGTGTCTCAGTCTGTGTCTGTGCTGTGCTTCAGTCTGTGCTTCTGTCTGTGCTTCAGTCTGTGCTTCAGTCTGTGTCTGTGCTTCAGTCTGTGCTTCAGTCTGTGTCTGTGCTTCAGTTGTTTTTCAGTGTCCTGGTGAACTCTGAGGTCCTGAAGCAGATGTGTTGCTTTGCACACTGTGCCTCACACTTGTCCCGACCGGAATGAAAATGTGGTAATTTCTTGTGTCATCGTTAAATGCACAGACCAACTGTGTGTCTGCTCGCTCCTTCTGAGAGCAAAGAGCTGCTAGAGACGCACATTTTAAGGGCCCAATGAAAGGTGATAAAAACAGATAAGAAAATGGATATTTGCATCACTTTATAAAACAAAAATTTTAAAAAAATCCCAGACGGCCAGAACAGGACGTGAAAAACGGACATGTCCAGGAAAAACGGACGTTTGGTCACCCTGACTTGTACAGACTCGTGTACTTGAACTGTAGATGAGGTGTGTGTCGGCCATCTTAGCACTGTAGACGAGGTGTGGTGTCGGCCATGCTTAGCACTGTAGATGAGGTGTGTGTCTTGTGCAGGAGCGTCTGCCCGCGGTGGGCGGAGACTTCTTCACCTACGCCGACAGAGATGATCATTACTGGAGCGGCTACTACACCTCCAGACCCTTCTACAAAAGACTGGACCGCACCCTGGAGGCCACGCTCAGGTACTGCACTACACGTCATATGTCACATACACTGTGAGTACATATACACATACTCGTGTAGTGTGTATTATACACGTCGTATACACGTACTCGTGTAGTGTGTATTATACACGTCGTATACACGTACTCGTGTAGTGTGTATTATACACGTCGTATACACGTACTCGTGTAGTGTGTATTATACACGTCGTATACACTGAATACTTCACATATATAGTATATATGAGTATATGTCGTATACGTCACATTTAAACACAGTTTCTTGTTTTTCTCATGGTTTTTCTCAGAGGAGCTGAGATCCTGTTCTCATTGGCTCTGGCGGAGAGTCGAGGCGTCTCTATGGTAACTTGTTTCCGGGGAAGAGCTCTTTGGTCACCTGACCTCAGGGAGGAGGAGCTTAGGCCTTTTCCAACATCATGACGCCGTGACGGGGACGGCCCGCGACGCCGTGGTACGAGACTATGGAAACAGGTACTACTGCTACTGCTACTACTACTGCTGCTACTACTATTACTACTACTACTACTACTACTACTATGCTACTACTACTGCTGCTACTACTATTACTACTACTACTACTACTACTACTGCTACTACTACTACTACTCTGCTACTGCTACTGCTACTACTACTACTACTACTATACTACTACTGCTAACTAACTACTAATAATAATAATATTGCTGCTACTCCTACAGATAAAAGTACTATTACTAATAATAATATTATTATATTATATTATATTATATATATTATATTATTATATTATTACTAATGCTGTTACTACTGTTACTATTACTATAAATAATACTACTGCACTGCATAATACTAGTACAGTACCAGTACAATACTTGTGCAGTACTAGTGCAGTAAAATCCTGCAGTACTAGTACTACAGTAATCATAGTATTTATGATTTAGTTTCTGTTTAAATGTGTTTGATGTTTTTAAAGGAGCCGCCGCCCGACGCCTCAGGTACGACGCTACGCTAGCACTGCACTGCTAATGTTAGCGTTAGCATTAGCATTTGTGTTTTTTTATTGTAGAAATAATTTCAACCGCATCACGTTCGACGTAATATTAGCCTTTAGCGTAAACATTAGCCTTAGCATTAACATTAGCCTTAGCGTTAACATTAGCCTTAGCGTTAACATTAGCCTTAGCGTTAACGTTAGCCTTAGCATTAACATTAGCCTTAGCATTAGCGTTAGCTTTAACATTACCCTAATCCTCGTATGTTTATGGTGTGATGCTAACAGCGCTAACAGAGTTACGGCTCTTTTATGCTTCATTTTCAAACATAAAAAGATCAATTTGTTCTAAACACAAAAATCATGAAACTGACACTAGAGGGCGTTGTGTTCATTAAACACTAGAGGGCGTTGTGTTCATTAGACACTAGAGGGCGTTGTGTTCATTAAACACTAGAGGGCGTTGTGTTCATTAAACACTAGAGGGCGTTGTGTTCATTAAACTAGAGGGCGCTGTGTTCATTAAAGACACTAGAGGGCGTTGTGTTCATTAAACTCTAGAGGGCGTTGTGTTCAGACACTAGAGGGCGTTGTGTTCATTAACACTAGGAGGGCGTTGTGTTCATTAAACACTAGAGGGCGTGTGTTCATTAGACACTAGAGGGCGCTGTGTTCATTAAACACTAGAGGGCGTTGTGTTCATTAAACACTAGAGGGCGTTGTGTTCATTAGACACTAGAGGGCGCTGTGTTCATTAAACACTAGAGGGCGTTGTGTTCATTAACACTAGAGGCGTCATTAACTAGAGGGCGTTGTGTTCATTAAACACTAGAGGGCGTTGTGTTCATTAAACACACTAGAGGGCGTTGGTGTTCATTAGACACTAGAGGGCGCTGTGTTCATTATAGAGGGCGTGTGTTCATTAAACACTAGAGGGCGTTGTGTTCATTAGACTCTAGAGGGGTTGTGTTCATTAAACACTAGAGGGCGTTGTGTTCATTAAACACTAGAGGGCGTGTGTTCATTAAACACTAGAGGGCGTGTGTTCATTAAACACTAGAGGGCGTTGTGTTCATTAGACACTAGAGCACTTAGAGGGCGTTGTGTTCATTAAACACTAGAGGGCGTTGTGTTTGTGTTCATTAACACTAGAGGGCGCTGTGTTATTAGACAGAGGGCGTTGTGTTCATTAAACACTAGAGGGCGTGTGTTCATTAGACACTAGAGGGCGCTGTGTTCATTAGACACTAGAGGGCGTTGTGTTCATTAAAACACTAGAGGGCGCTGTGTTCATTAAACTAGAGGGCGTTGTGTTCATTAAACACTAGAGGGCGCTGTGTTCATTAGACACTAGAGGGCGCTGTGTTCATTAAACACTAGAGGGCGTTGTGTTCATTAAACACTAGAGGGCGCTGTGTTCATTAAACACTAGAGGGCGCTGTGTTCATTAGACACTAGAGGGCGTTGTGTTCATTAGACACTAGAGGGCGTTGTGTTCATTAGACACTAGAGGGCGCTGTGTTCATTAAACTCTAGAGGGCGTTGTGTTCATTAAGACACTAGAGGGCGCTGTGTTCATTAAACTCTAGAGGGCGTTGTGTTCATTAAACACTAGAGGGCGTTGTGTTCATTAGAACTCTAGAGGGGGTGTTGTTTAGACACTAGAGGGCGTTGTGTTAAACACTAGAGGGCGTTGTGTTCATTAAACTAGAGGGCGCTGTGTTCATTAAACTCTAGAGGGCGTTGTGTTCATTAAACACTAGAGGGCGTTGTGTTCATTAAAGAGGGCACTAGAGGGCGTTGTGTTCATTAAACACTAGAGAGGCGTTGTGTTCATTAACACTAGAGGGCGTTGTGTTCATTAAACACTAGAGGGCGTTGTGTTCATTAACACTAGAGGGCGGCGTTGTGTTCATTAAACTCTAGAGGGCGTTGTGTTCATTAAACACTAGAGGGCGTTGTGTTCATTAGACACTAGAGGGCGTTGTGTTCATTAAACACTAGAGGGCGTTGTGTTCATTAGACACTAGAGGGCGCTGTGTTCATTAAACACTAGAGGGCGTGTGTTCATTAAACTAGAGGCTAGAGGGCGCTGTGTTCATTAAACACTAGAGGGCGTTGTGTTCATTAAACATAGAGGGCGCTGTGTTCATTAGACACTAGAGGGCGTTGTGTTCATTAAACACTAGAGGGCGTTGTGTTCATTAAACACTAGGGGGCGTTGTGTTCATTAAACACTAGAGGGCGTTGTGTTCATAGAGGGCGCTGTGTTAAAACACTAGAGGGGTTGTGTTCATTAAACACTAGAGGGCGTTGTGTTCATTAAACACTAGAGGGCGTTGTGTTCATTAACACAGGGGGCGTTGTGTTCATTAAACACTAGAGGGCGTTGTGTTCATTAAAACACTTTGTGTTCACACTAGAGGGCGTTGTGTTCATTAAACACTAGAGGGCGCTGTGTTCATTAGACACTAGGGGGCGTTGTGTTAAACACTAGAGGGCGTTGTGTTCATTAACACACTAGAGGGCGTTGTGTTTCATTAAACACTAGAGGGCGTTGTGTTTTCATTAAACACTAGAGGGCGCTTGTGTTCATTAAACACTAGAGGGCGTTGTGTTCATTAAACACTAGAGGGCGTTGTGTTCATTAACAACTAGAGGGCGTTGTGTTAAACACTAGAGGGCGTTGTTATTAAACACTAGAGGGCGTTGTGTTCATTAAACACTAGAGGGCGCTGTGTTCATTAAACACTAGGGGGCGTTGTGTTCATTAAACACTAGAGGGCGCTGTGTTCATTAAACACTAGAGGGCGTTGTGTTCATTAAACACTAGAGGGCGTTGTGTTCATTAAACACTAGAGGGCGTTGTGTTCATTAAACACTAGAGGGCGCTGTGTTCATTAAACACTAGAGGGCGTTGTGTTCATTAAACTCTAGAGGGCGTTGTGTTCATTAGACACTAGAGGGCGCTGTGTTCATTAAACACTAGGGGGCGTTGTGTTCATTAAACACTAGAGGGCGTTGTGTTCATTAAACACTAGAGGGCGTTGTGTTCATTAAACACTAGAGGGCGTTGTGTTCATTAGACACTAGAGGGCGCTGTGTTCATTAAACTCTAGAGGGCGTTGTGTTCATTAGACACTAGAGGGCGTTGTGTTCATTAAACACTAGAGGGCGTTGTGTTCATTAAACACTAGAGGGCGTTGTGTTCATTAAACACTAGAGGGCGTTGTGTTCATTAAACACTAGAGGGCGTTGTGTTCATTAAACACTAGAGGGCGCTGTGTTCATTAAACTCTAGAGGGCGTTGTGTTATTAGACACTAGAGGGCGTTGTGTTAGACACTAGGGGCGTTGTGTTAAACACTAGAGGGCGTTGTGTTCATTAAACACTAGAGGCGAAACACTAGAGGGCGTTGTGTTCATTAAACACTAGAGGGCGTTGTGTTCATTAAACACTAGAGGGCGTTGTGTTCATTAGAACTAGAGGGCGTTGTGTTCATTAAACACTAGAGGGCGTTGTGTTCATTAAACACTAGGGGGCGTTGTGTTCATTAAACACTAGACACTAGAGGGCGTGTGTTCATTAGACACTAGAGGGCGTTGTGTTCATTAAACACTAGAGGGCGCTTTGTTCATTAACACTAGAGGGCGTTGTGTTCATTAAACACTAGAGGGCGTTGTGTTCATTAAACACTAGAGGGGTTGTGTTCATTAAACACTAGAGGGCGTTGTGTTCATTAGACACTAGAGGGCGTTGTGTTCATTAGACACTAGAGGGCGTTGTGTTCATTAAACACTAGAGGGCGTTGTGTTCATTAGACACTAGAGGGCGTGTGTTCATTACACTAGAGGGCGTTGTGTTCATTAACCACTAGAGGGCGCTGTGTTCATTAGAACACTAGAGGGCGTTGTGTTCATTAAACACTAGAGGGCGTTGTGTTCATTAACAACTAGAGGGCGTTGTGTTCATTAAAGGGCGTTTGTGTTCATTAAACACTAAGGGCGTTGTGTTCAAAACACTAAGGGCGTGTGTTCATTAAACACTAGAGGGCGTTGTGTTCATTAAACACTAGAGGGCGTTGTGTTCATTAAACACTAGAGGGCGCTGTGTTCATTAAACACTAGAGGGCGTTGTGTTCATTAGACACTAGAGGGCGCTGTGTTCATTAAACACTAGAGGGCGTTGTGTTCATTAAACACTAGAGGGCGTTGTGTTCATTAAACACTAGAGGGCGTTGTGTTCATTAAACACTAGAGGGCGTTGTGTTCATTAGACACTAGAGGGCGCTGTGTTCATTAGACACTAGAGGGCGTTGTGTTCATTAGACACTAGAGGGCGCTGTGTTCATTAGACACTAGAGGGCGTTGTGTTAGACACTAGAGGGCGTTGTGTTCATTAGACACTAGAGGGCGTTGTGTTCATTAAACACTAGAGGGCGCTGTGTTCATTAGACACTAGAGGGCGTGTGTTCATTAAACACTAGAGGGCGTGTGTTCGTTGTGTTCATTAAACACTAGAGGGCGTTGTGTTCATTAGACACTAGAGGGCGCTGTGTTCATTAAACACTAGAGGGCGTTGTGTTCATTAGACACTAGAGGGCGTTGTGTTCATTAACACTAGAGGGCGTTGTGTTAGACACTAGAGGGCGTTGTGTTAGACACTAGAGGGCGCTGTGTTCATTAGACACTAGAGGGCGCTGTGTTCATTAAACACTAGAGGGCGTTGTGTTCATTAAACACTAGAGGGCGTTGTGTTCATTAGACACTAGAGGGCGTTGTGTTCATTAAACACTAGAGGGCGCTGTGTTCATTAGACACTAGAGGGCGTTGTGTTCATTAGACACTAGAGGGCGTTGTTCATTAGAGGGCGTTGTGTTCATTAAACACTAGAGGGCGTTGTGTTCATTAAACACTAGAAGGGCGTTGTGTTCATTAAACACTAGAGGGCGCTGTGTTCATTAGACACTAGAGGGCGTTGTGTTAGACACTAGAGGGCGTTGTGTTAGACACTAGAGGGCGCTGTGTTCATTAAACACTAGAGGGCGTTGTGTTCATTAAACACTAGAGGGCGTTGTGTTCATTAGACACTAGAGGGCGTTGTGTTCATTAAACACTAGAGGGCGTTGTGTTCATTAAACACTAGAGGGCGCTGTGTTCATTAGACACTAGAGGGCGTTGTGTTCATTAAACACTAGAGGGCGTTGTGTTCATTAAACACTAGAGGGCGTTGTGTTCATTAGACACTAGAGGGCGTTGTGTTCATTAGACACTAGAGGGCGCTGTGTTCATTAGACACTAGAGGGCGTTGTGTTCATTAACACTAGAGGGCGTTGTGTTAGACACTAGAGGGCGCTGTGTTCATTAGACACTAGAGGGCGCTGTGTTCATTAGACACTAGAGGGCGCTGTGTTCATTAAACACTAGAGGGCGCTGTGTTCATTAGACACTAGAGGGCGTTGTGTTCATTAAACACTAGAGGGCGTTGTGTTCATTAGACACTAGAGGGCGTTGTGTTCATTAACACTAGAGGGCGTTGTGTTCATTAGACACTAGAGGGCGCTGTGTTCATTAAACACTAGAGGGCGTTGTGTTCATTAGACACTAGAGGGCGTTGTGTTCATTAAACACTAGAGGGCGCTGTGTTCATTAGACACTAGAGGGCGTTGTGTTCATTAAACACTAGAGGGCGTTGTGTTCATTAAACACTAGAGGGCGTTGTGTTCATTAAACACTAGAGGGCGTTGTGTTCATTAAACACTAGAGGGCGTTGTGTTCATTAACACTAGAGGGCGTTGTGTTCATTAGACACTAGAGGGCGCTTGTGTTCATTAAACACTAGAGGGCGTTGTGTTCATTAACACTAGAGGGCGTTGTGTTCATTAAACTAGAGGGCGTTGTGTTCATTAGACACTAGAGGGCGTTGTGTTCATTAAACACTAGAGGGCGCTGTGTTCATTAGACACTAGAGGGCGTTGTGTTTCATTAAACACTAGAGGGCGTTGTGTTCATTAAACACTAGAGGGCGTTGTGTTCATTAAACACTAGAGGGCGTTGTGTTCATTAAACACTAGAGGGCGTTGTGTTCATTAAACACTAGAGGGCGTTGTGTTCATTAAACACTAGAGGGCGCTGTGTTCATTAAACACTAGAGGGCGTTGTGTTCATTAGACACTAGAGGGCGTTGTGTTCATTAAACACTAGAGGGCGTTGTGTTCATTAAACACTAGAGGGCGCTGTGTTCATTAAACACTAGAGGGCGTTGTGTTCATTAAACACTAGAGGGCGTTGTGTTCATTAGACACTAGAGGGCGTTGTGTTCATTAAACACTAGAGGGCGTTGTGTTCATTAGACACTAGAGGGCGTTGTGTTCATTAAACACTAGAGGGCGCTGTGTTCATTAAACACTAGAGGGCGTTGTGTTCATTAAACACTAGAGGGCGTTGTGTTCATTAGACACTAGAGGGCGTTGTGTTCATTAAACACTAGAGGGCGTTGTGTTCATTAGACACTAGAGGGCGTTGTGTTCATTAGACACTAGAGGGCGTTGTGTTCATTAGACACTAGAGGGCGTTGTGTTCATTAAACACTAGAGGGCGTTGTGTTCACTAGAGGGCGCTGTGTTCATTAGACACTAGAGGGCGTTGTTCATTAACACTAGAGGGCGTTGTGTTCATTAAACACTAGAGGGCGTTGTGTTCATTAAGACACTAGAGGGCGTTGTGTTCATTAGACACTAGAGGGCGTTGTGTTCATTAAACACTAGAGGGCGTTGTGTTCATTAGACACTAGAGGGCGTTGTGTTCATTAAACACTAGAGGGCGTTGTGTTCATTAAACACTAGAGGGCGTTGTGTTCATTAGACACTAGAGGGCGTTGTGTTCATTAAACACTAGAGGGCGTTGTGTTCATTAGACACTAGAGGGCGTTGTGTTCATTAGACACTAGAGGGCGTTGTGTTCATTAAACACTAGAGGGCGTTGTGTTAGACACTAGAGGGCGTTGTGTTCATTAAACACTAGAGGGCGTTGTGTTCATTAAACACTAGAGGGCGTTGTGTTCATTAAACACTAGAGGGCGTTGTGTTCATTAAACACTAGAGGGCGTTGTGTTCATTAACACTAGAGGGCGTTGTGTTCATTAGACACTAGAGGGCGTTGTGTTCATTAGACACTAGAGGGCGTTGTGTTCATTAAACACTAGAGGCGTTGTGTTCATTAAACACTAGAGGGCGTTGTGTTCATTAAACACTAGAGGCGCTGTGTTCATTAGACACTAGAGGGCGTTGTGTTCATTAAACACTAGAGGGCGTTGGTGTTCATTAGACACTAGAGGGCGTTGTGTTCATTAGACACTAGAGGGCGTTGTGTTCATTAGACACTAGAGGGCGTTGTGTTCATTAAACACTAGAGGGGCGTTGTGTTCATTAAACACTAGAGGGCGTTGTGTTCATTAAACACTAGAGGGCGCTGTGTTCATTAAACACTAGAGGGCGTTGTGTTCATTAGACACTAGAGGGCGTTGTGTTCATTAAACACTAGAGGCGTTGTGTTCATTAGACACTAGAGGGCGTTGTGTTCATTAACACTAGAGGGCGTTGTGTTCATTAAACACTAGAGGGCGTGTGTTCATTAAACACTAGAGGGCGTTGTGTTCATTAAACACTAAGAGGGCGTTGTGTTCATTAAACACTAGAGGGCGTTGTGTTCATTAGACACTAGAGGGCGTTGTGTTCATTAAACACTAGAGGGCGTTTGTGTTCATTAAACACTAGGGCGTTGTGTTCATTAGACACTAGAGGGCGTTGTGTTCATTAGACACTAGAGGGCGTTGTGTTCATTAAACACTAGAGGGCGTTGTGTTCATTAGACACTAGAGGGCGCTGTGTTCATTAAACACTAGAGGGCGTTGTGTTCATTAGACACTAGAGGGCGTTGTGTTCATTAAACACTAGAGGGCGTTGTGTTCATTAGACACTAGAGGGCGTTGTGTTCATTAGACACTAGAGGGCGTTGTGTTCATTAGACACTAGAGGGCGTTGTGTTCATTAAACACTAGAGGGCGTTGTGTTCATTAGACACTAGAGGGCGTTGTGTTCATTAGACACTAGAGGGCGCTGTGTTCATTAGAGCGTGGACCAAAAACAGGATAAAACATGGAGCAGATTTTCGATCATTGTGCTCTTCACTGTCATGGAAATTGTGTAGAAAGAAATTGTATTAAAATGTGTAAAAAAAAATGAACAAATTAAGCCCCGCCCTCAGCACCGCTGTCAGCTCCTCCTCTCGGGGCTGGATCACTCCCCTTCAGGAGCAGATCAGGTGTGAGGGCGACGAGGGAGGAAAAGGACTTTCTTACACCATGGTACAAAGTGTTTTTGTTTTTCAGACTCTTGCGCTCGATCCTGAACCTGCGACAGGTGATCCAGAGCTCCGCCCACTTCCTCATGCTGCCAGACAAAAGCCACTTTGACCAATCACAGCCCGTCCTGCAGACGGTGAGCGCTTCACGCCACAGACGCACTTTAGAAATGTATTAAAATAAAAACAACTTTCACATTCAGATGAGCTTGGTTTAGTCCTGGTTTAGTCTTGGTTTAGACCTAGTTTAGTCCTGGTTCAGTCCTGGTTCAGTCTTGGTTCAGTCCTGGTTTAGTCCTTGTTTAGTCCTGGTTTAGTCCTGGTTCAGTCCTGGTTCAGTCTTGGTTCAGTCCTGGTTTAGTCCTTGTTTAGTCCTGGTTTAGTCCTGGTTCAGTCCTGGTTCAGTCTTGGTTCAGTCCTGGTTTAGTCCTTGTTTAGTCTTAGTTTAGACCTGGTTTAATCCTGGTTCAGTCCTCGTTCAATCCTGGTTTAGTCCTGGTTCAGTCTTGGTTCAGTCCTGGTTCAGTCTTGGTTTAGTCCTGGTTCAGTCTTGGTTTAGTCCTGGTTCAGTCTTGGTTCAGTCTTGGTTCAGTCCTGGTTTAGTCCTGGTTTAGTCCTGGTTCAGTCCTGGTTTAGTCCTGGTTTCTCGTCTCTGTTTCAGGATGATGTCATTGCGGCTCATGACGCTCTGCCGAAGAAAACTACCATCAAAGTCAGTGACACTCCCAGGTACAGCACCCCCAACTGCACACATCTAGTCCTGGTCTGGTCTTGGTCTGGTCTTGGTTCTCCTGGAGGAGTTTATGTACCCAAATGATAAAAGCAGCGATGTTGCCTGGGAAGGGTGAGGGTTAGGCTCGCCTGGTGCATTTTGCCTCTGGAAGAGTCTCCCTCGGCAAACAGGTCCAGGGTTAGTCCAAGCACAGTTCAACATCTTTATGAGTTTATTATAAAGGACTGTGATGTCGCCCAGTACGGCACAGCCGGGGCCCCACCCTCAAGTCCGGCTGGGCTCAGCCCGAAAGGACGACATGTGTTTCAGGACTCTTCGTGTGTTTCAGATCCTCTTCGTGTGTTTCAGATCCTCTTCGTGTGTTTCAGATCCTCTTCGTGTTTCAGTCTTCGTGTGTTTCAGATCCTCTTCGTGTGTTTCAGATCCTCTTCGTGTGTTTCAGGACTCTTCGTGTGTTTCAGGACTCTTCGTGTGTTTCAGGACTCTTCGTGTGTTTCAGGACTCTTCGTGTGTTTCAGGACTCTTCGTGTGTTTCAGATCCTCTTCGTGTGTTTCAGGACTCTTCGTGTGTTTCAGGACTCTTCGTGTGTTTCAGATCCTCTTCGTGTGTTTCAGATCCTCTTCGTGTGTTTCAGGACTCTTCGTGTGTTTCAGGACTCTTCATGTGTTTCAGATCCTCTTCGTGTGTTTCAGGACCCTTTGTGTGTTTCAGGACTTTTCGTGTGTTTCAGGACTCTTTGTGTGTTTCAGGACTCTTCGTGTGTTTCAGGACTCTTCGTGTGTTTCAGGACTCTTCGTGTGTTTCAGATCCTCTTCGTGTGTTTCAGATCCTCTTCGTGTGTTTCAGGACTCTTCGTGTGTTTCAGGACTCTTCGTGTGTTTCAGGACTCTTCGTGTGTTTCAGGACTCTTCGTGTGTTTCAGGACTCTTCGTGTGTTTCAGAACCTCTTCGTGTGTTTCAGGACTCTTCGTGTGTTTCAGGACTCTTCGTGTGTTTCAGGACCTCTTCGTGTGTTTCAGACTCTTCGTGTCTTCGTGTTTCAGATCCTCTTCGTGTGTTTCAGGACTCTTCGTGTGTTTCAGGACTCTTCGTGTGTTTCAGATCCTCTACGTGTGTTTCAGGACTCTTCGTGTGTTTCAGGACTCTTCGTATGTTTCAGATCCTCTTCGTGTGTTTCAGGACTCTTCGTGTGTTTCAGGACTCTTTGTGTGTTTCAGGACTCTTCGTATGTTTCAGGACTCTTCGTGTGTTTCAGGACTCTTCGTATGTTTCAGGACTCTTCGTGTGTTTCAGGGCTCTTCGTGTGTTTCAGGACTCTTCGTGTGTTTCAGATCCTCTTCGTGTGTTTCAGGACTCTTCGTGTGTTTCAGATCCTCTTCGTATGTTTCAGGACTCTTCGTGTGTTTCAGGACTCTTCGTGTGTTTCAGATCCTCTTCGTGTGTTTCAGATCCTCTTCGTGTGTTTCAGGACTCTTCGTGTGTTTCAGGACTCTTCGTGTGTTTCAGATCCTCTTCGTGTGTTTCAGGACTCTTCGTGTGTTTTCAGATCCTCTTCGTGTGTTTCAGGACTCTTCATGTGTTTTCATCCTCGTGTGTTCAGATCCTCTTCGTGTGTTTCAGGACTCTTCGTGTGTTTCAGGACTCTTCGTGTGTTTCAGATCCTCTACGTGTGTTTCAGGACTCTTCGTGTGTTTCAGGACTCTTCGTGTGTTTCAGGACTCTTTGTGTGTTTCAGGACTCTTCGTATGTTTCAGATCCTCTTCGTGTGTTTCAGGACTCTTTGTGTGTTTCAGGACTCTTCGTGTGTTTCAGATCCTCTTCGTGTGTTTCAGGACTCTTCGTGTGTTTCAGGACTCTTCGTGTGTTTCAGACTCTTCGTGTGTTTTCAGGACTCTTCGTGTTTTCAGGACTCTTCGTGTGTTTCAGGACTCTTCGTGTGTGTTTCAGATCCTCTACGTGTGTTTCAGGACTCTTCGTGTGTGTTTCAGGACTCTTCGTGTGTTTCAGGACTCTTTGTGTGTTTCAGGACTCTTCGTATGTTTCAGATCCTCTTCGTGTGTTTCAGGACTCTTTGTGTGTTTCAGGACTCTTCGTGTGTTTCAGATCCTCTTCGTGTGTTTCAGGACTCTTTGTGTGTTTCAGGACTCTTTGTGTGTTTCAGGACTCTTCGTGTGTTTCAGATCCTCTTTGTGTGTTTCAGGACTCTTCGTATGTTTCAGACCCTCTTCGTGTGTTTCAGGACTCTTTGTGTGTTTCAGATCCTCTTCGTATGTTTCAGGACTCTTCGTGTGTTTCAGGACTCTTCGTGTGTTTCAGGACTCTTCGTGTGTTTCAGGACTCTTCGTGTGTTTCAGGACTTTTCGTGTGTTTCAGATCCTCTTCGTGTGTTTCAGGACTCTTCGTATGTTTCAGATCCTCTTTGTATGTTTCAGGTCTCTTCGTGTGTTTCAGATCCTCTTCATGTGTTTCAGGACTCTTCGTGTGTTTCAGATCCTCTTCGTGTTTTCAGACTCTTCGTGTGTTTCAGGACTTTTCGTGTGTTTCAGGACTCTTCGTGTGTTTCAGGACTCTTCGTGTGTTTCAGGACTCTTCGTGTGTTTCAGATCCTCTTTGTGTGTTTCAGATCCTCTTCTTGTGTTTCAGGACTCTTCGTGTGTTTCAGGACTCTTCGTATGTTTCAGATCCTCTTCGTGTGTTTCAGGACTCTTTGTGTGTTTCAGGACTCTTCGTGTGTTTCAGGACTCTTCGTGTGTTTCAGATCCTCTTCGTGTGTTTCAGATCCTCTTTGTGTGTTTCAGGACTCTTCGTGTGTTTCAGATCCTCTTCGTGTGTTTCAGGACTCTTTGTGTGTTTCAGGACTCTTTGTGTGTTTCAGGACTCTTCGTGTGTTTCAGGACTCTTCGTATGTTTCAGGACTCTTCGTATGTTTCAGGACTCTTCGTATGTTTCAGATCCTCTTCGTGTGTTTCAGGACTCTTCGTGTGTTTCAGGACTCTTCGTGTGTTTCAGGACTCTTTGTGTGTTTCAGATCCTCTTCGTGTGTTTCAGGACTCTTCGTATGTTTCAGGACTCTTCGTATGTTTCAGATCCTCTTCGTGTGTTTCAGGACTCTTCGTGTGTTTCAGGACTCTTCGTGTGTTTCAGGACTCTTCGTGTGTTTCAGGACTCTTCATGTGTTTCAGGACTCTTCGTGTGTTTCAGATCCTCTTCGTGTGTTTCAGGACGCTTCGTGTGTTTCAGGACTCTTCGTGTGTTTCAGGACTCTTCGTGTGTTTCAGATCCTCTTCGTGTGTTTCAGATCCTCTTCGTGTGTTTCAGGACTCTTCGTGTGTTTCAGATCCTCTTCGTGTGTTTCAGGACTCTTCGTGTGTTTCAGATCCTCTTCGTGTGTTTCAGGACTCTTCATGTGTTTCAGATCCTCTTCGTGTGTTTCAGATCCTCTTCGTGTGTTTCAGGACTCTTCGTGTGTTTCAGGACTCTTCGTGTGTTTCAGATCCTCTTCGTGTGTTTCAGGACTCTTCGTGTGTTTCAGACCTCTTCGTGTGTTTCAGGCTCTTCGTGTGTTCAGGACTCTTGTGTGTTTCAGGACTCTTCGTGTGTTTCAGGACTCTTCGTATGTTTCAGATCCTCTTCGTGTGTTTCAGGACTCTTCGTGTGTTTCAGGACTCTTTGTGTGTTTCAGGACTCTTCGTATGTTTCAGGACTCTTCGTGTGTTTCAGGACTCTTCGTATGTTTCAGGACTCTTCGTGTGTTTCAGGGCTCTTCGTGTGTTTCAGGACTCTTCGTGTGTTTCAGATCTCTCGTGTGTTTCAGTCCTCTTCGTGTGTTTCAGGACTCTTCGTGTGTTTCAGGACTCTTCGTGTGTTTCAGGACTCTTCGTGTGTTTCAGGACTCTTCGTGTGTTTCAGGACTCTTCGTATGTTTCAGGACTCTCTCGTGTGTTTCAGGACTCTTCGTGTGTTTCAGGATCCTCTTGTGTTTCAGGACTCTTCGTGTGTTTCAGATCTCTTCGTGTGTTTCAGGACTCTTCGTGTGTTTCAGATCCTCTTCGTGTGTTTCAGGACTCTTCGTGTGTTTTCAGTCCTTCAGTGTTTCAGGACTTTCGTGTGTTTCAGGACTCTTCGTGTGTTTCAGATCCTCTTCGTGTGTTTCAGATCTCTTCGTGTGTTTCAGGACTCTTCGTGTGTTTCAGGACTCTTGTGTGTTTCAGATCCTCTTCGTGTGTTTCAGGACTCTTCGTGTGTTTCAGATCCTCTTCGTGTGTTTCAGGACTCTTCATGTGTTTCAGATCCTCTTCGTGTGTTTCAGATCCTCTTCGTGTGTTTCAGGACTCTTCGTGTGTTTCAGGACTCTTCGTGTGTTTCAGGACTCTTCGTGTGTTTCAGGACTCTTCGTGTTTCAGATCCTCTACTTTCGTGTTTTCAGGACTCTTCGTGTGTTTCAGGACTCTTCGTGTGTTTCAGGACTCTTTTGTGTGTTTCAGGACTCTTCGTATGTTTCAGATCCTCTTCGTGTGTTTCAGGACTCTTTGTGTGTTTCAGGACTCTTCGTGTGTTTCAGATCTCTTTCGTGTGTTTCAGGACTCTTTGTGTGTTTCAGGACTCTTCGTGTGTTTCAGGACTCTTCGTGTGTTTCAGATCCTCTTCGTGTGTTTCAGGACTCTTCGTGTGTTTCAGACTCTTCGTGTGTTTCAGATCCTCTTCGTGTGTTTCAGGACTCTTCGTGTGTTTCAGATCCTCTTCGTGTGTTTCAGATCCTCTTCGTGTGTTTCAGGACTCTTCGTGTGTTTCAGGACTCTTCGTGTGTTTCAGGACTCTTCGTGTGTTTCAGATCCTCTACGTGTGTTTCAGGACTCTTCGTGTGTTTCAGGACTCTTCGTGTGTTTCAGGACTCTTTGTGTGTTTCAGGACTCTTCGTATGTTTCAGATCCTCTTCGTGTGTTTCAGGACTCTTTGTGTGTTTCAGGACTCTTCGTGTGTTTCAGATCCTCTTCGTGTGTTTCAGGACTCTTTGTGTGTTTCAGGACTCTTCGTGTGTTTCAGGATCCTTCGTGTGTTTCAGATCCTCTTCGTGTGTTTCAGGACCTTCGTGTTTTCAGACTCTTCGTGTGTTTCAGATCCTCTTCGTGTTTCAGGACTCTTCGTGTGTTTCAGGACTCTTCGTGTGTTTCAGGACTCTTCGTGTGTTTCAGATCTCTTTGTGTGTTTCAGGACTCTTCGTGTGTTTCAGATCCTCTTCGTGTGTCTTCGTGTGTTTCAGGACTCTTGTGTGTTTCAGGACTCTTCGTGTGTTTCAGGACTCTTTCGTGTGTTTTCAGGATCCTCTTCGTGTGTTTCAGGACTCTTCGTATGTTTCAGATCCTCTTTGTATGTTTCAGGTCTCTTCGTGTGTTTCAGATCCTCTTCATGTGTTTCAGGACTCTTCGTGTGTTTCAGATCCTCTTCGTGTGTTTTCAGGACTCTTCGTGTGTTTCAGGACTTTTCGTGTGTTTCAGGACTCTTCGTGTGTTTCAGGACTCTTGTGTTTCAGGACTCTTCGTGTGTTTCAGATCCTCTTTGTGTGTTTTCAGATCTCTTCTTGTGTTTCAGGACTCTTCGTGTGTTTCAGGACTCTTCGTATGTTTTCAGATCCTCTTCGTGTGTTTCAGGACTCTTTGTGTTTTCAGGACTCTTCGTGTGTTTCAGGACTCTTCGTATGTTTCAGATCCTCTTCGTGTGTTTCAGATCCTCTTTGTGTGTTTCAGGACTCTTCGTGTGTTTCAGATCCCTCTCGTGTGTTTCAGACCTCTTCGTGTGTTTCAGGACTCTTTGTGTGTTTCAGGACTCTTCGTGTGTTTTCAGGACTCTTCGTGTGTTTCAGGACTCTTCGTATGTTTCAGGACTCTTCGTATGTTTCAGATCCTCTTCGTGTGTTTCAGGACTCTTCGTGTGTTTCAGGACTCTTCGTGTGTTTCAGGACTCTTTGTGTGTTTCAGATCCTCTTCGTGTGTTTCAGGACTCTTCGTATGTTTCAGGACTCTTCGTATGTTTCAGATCCTCTTCGTGTGTTTCAGGACTCTTCGTGTGTTTCAGGACTCTTCGTGTGTTTCAGGACTCTTCGTGTGTTTCAGATCCTCTTCGTGTGTTTCAGATCCTCTTCGTGTGTTTCAGATCCTCTTCGTGTGTTTCAGATCCTCTTCGTGTGTTTCAGGACTCTTTGTGTGTTTCAGGACTCTTCTTGTGTTTCAGGACTCTTCGTGTGTTTCAGATCCTCTTCGTGTGTTTCAGATCCTCTTTGTGTGTTTCAGGACTCTTTGTGTGTTTCAGATCCTCTTCGTGTGTTTCAGGACTCTTTGTGTGTTTCAGGACTCTTCGTATGTTTCAGATCCTCTTCGTATGTTTCAGGACTCTTCGTATGTTTCAGGACTCTTCGTATGTTTCAGGACTCTTCGTGTGTTTCAGGACTCTTCGTGTGTTTCAGGACTCTTCATGTGTTTCAGGACTCTTCGTATGTTTCAGGACTCTTCATGTGTTTCAGGACTCTTCGTATGTTTCAGATCCTCTTCGTGTGTTTCAGGACTCTTCGTGTGTTTCAGGACTTTTCGTGTGTTTCAGGACTCTTCGTGTGTTTCAGGACTCTTCGTGTGTTTCAGGACTCTTCGTGTGTTTCAGGACTCTTCATGTGTTTCAGGACTCTTCGTATGTTTCAGGACTCTTCGTGTGTTTCAGATCCTCTTCGTATGTTTCAGATCCTCTTCGTGTGTTTCAGATCCTCTTCGTGTGTTTCAGGACTCTTCGTGTGTTTCAGGACTCTTCGTATGTTTCAGATCCTCTTTGTATGTTTCAGGACTCTTCGTATGTTTCAGATCCTCTTTGTATGTTTCAGGACTCTTCGTGTGTTTCAGGACTCTTCGTGTGTTTCAGATCCTCTTCGTGTGTTTCAGATCCTCTTCGTGTGTTTCAGGACTCTTCGTGTGTTTCAGGACTCTTCGTGTGTTTCAGGACTCTTCATGTGTTTCAGGACTCTTCGTATGTTTCAGGACTCTTCGTGTGTTTCAGATCCTCTTCGTATGTTTCAGATCCTCTTCGTGTGTTTCAGATCCTCTTCGTGTGTTTCAGGACTCTTCGTGTGTTTCAGGACTCTTCGTATGTTTCAGATCCTCTTTGTATGTTTCAGGACTCTTCGTATGTTTCAGGACTCTTCGTATGTTTCAGATCCTCTTTGTATGTTTCAGGACTCTTCGTGTGTTTCAGATCCTCTTCGTGTGTTTCAGGACTCTTCGTGTGTTTCAGGACTCTTCGTATGTTTCAGATCCTCTTTGTATGTTTCAGGACTCTTCGTATGTTTCAGATCCTCTTTGTATGTTTCAGGACTCTTCGTGTGTTTCAGATCCTCTTCGTGTGTTTCAGGACTCTTCGTGTGTTTCAGGACTCTTCGTATATTTCAGGACTCTTTGTGTGTTTCAGGACTCTTCGTGTGTTTCAGGACTCTTCGTGTGTTTCAGGACTCTTCATGTGTTTCAGGACTCTTCGTGTGTTTCAGATCCTCTTCGTGTGTTTCAGGACTCTTCATGTGTTTCAGGACTCTACGTGTGTTTCAGATCCTCTTCATGTGTTTCAGGACTCTTCGTATGTTTCAGGACTCTTCGTATGTTTCAGATCCTCTTCGTATGTTTCAGGACTCTTCATATGTTTCAGGACTCTTCGTGTGTTTCAGATCCTCTTCGTATGTTTCAGATCCTCTTCGTGTGTTTCAGGACTCTTCGTGTGTTTCAGATCCTCTTCGTGTGTTTCAGATCCTCTTCGTATGTTTCAGGACTCTTCGTGTGTTTCAGGACTCTTCGTGTGTTTCAGATCCTCTTCGTATGTTTCAGATCCTCTTCGTGTGTTTCAGGACTCTTCGTGTGTTTCAGATCCTCTTCGTGTGTTTCAGGACTCTTCGTGTGTTTCAGATCCTCTTCGTGTGTTTCAGATCCTCTTCGTATGTTTCAGGACTCTTCGTGTGTTTCAGGACTCTTCGTGTGTTTCAGATCCTCTTTGTGTGTTTCAGGACTCTTCGTATGTTTCAGGACTCTTTGTGTGTTTCAGGACTCTTCGTGTGTTTCAGATCCTCTTCGTGTGTTTCAGATCCTCTTCGTGTGTTTCAGATCCTCTTCGTGTGTTTCAGATCCTCTTCGTATGTTTCAGGACTCTTCGTGTGTTTCAGATCCTCTTTGTATGTTTCAGATCCTCTTCGTGTGTTTCAGGACTCTTCGTGTGTTTCAGGACTCTTCGTGTGTTTCAGGGCGGTCGTCGTGTACAATCCACTTGCGCAGCGTCGCACGACTGTGGTGACCGTCACCGTGGATGCGCCTGATGTTAGTGTCGTAGAAGCTGAGACAAACCGACCAATCACAGTACAGATCTCTGCAGTGTGGGAGGAGCCAACACAAGCCTCCAGCAGCACCTTCCAGGTAAAAAAAAACAACAAAAAAAACTGGTTAGACCTGGTTTTGTTCTGATCTGACCGGTATAGACTTGTTTTAGACTTGGTTTAGTCCTGGTTTAGACTTGTTTTAGACCTGGTTTAGTCCTGGTTTAGACCTGGTTTAGTCCTGGTTTAGACTTGTTTTAGACTTGGTTTAGTCCTGGTTTAGACTTGTTTTAGACTTGGTTTAGTCCTGGTTGAGACTTGTTTTAGACCTGGTTTAGTCCTGATTTAGACTTGTTTTAGGCCTGCTAGTCCTGGTTGAGACTTGTTTTAGACCTGGTTTAGTCCTGGTTTAGACCAGGGGGTTTTCCATCAAAGTGGCTTAACAAATCCAGTCCAGTCCTGAGCTGAATCCAGCTCCATCTTCAGTTTAAGCCTCAAGTCATTTCATGACGGAAATAATCCTGAGTCTGACCAAATCTTAATTCAAGCCTAAAGTTTAAGATGCACTTTGTTCTCACTCGCGGTGACTCTGGGAAGGCCAGAGCAACAGAGCAACGACATCACGGAAAACGGGCCAAAAATGTGATGTTTATATTTTTTAGTTCTGGTCATCGTCCCTTAGTCCACATCTACAGTCTGTGGTGTGGTTGTCGTTGTCACCGTGATTTGTTTGTTGACGTGGTTGTTGTGGTGATTTGTTTGTCGACGTGGTTGTCGTGGTGATTTGTTTGTCGACGTGGTTGTCGTGGTGATTTGTTTGTTGACGTGGTTGCCGTGGTGATTTGTTTGTCGACGTGGTTGTCGTGGTGATTTGTTTGTTGACATGGTTGTCGTGGTGATTTTCAGCTCTCCTTCGTGGTGGACCTGCCCCCCCTCTCTCTGTCTGTGTACCATGTGACCACAGCCCCCGCTGGCTCCGCCCCCAGATCTCGGTACCGGGTCTTGGGGTCCGGGTTCCGGGCGGCAGGGTTTTCGATGAGTTCGGTCCAAACCGAGTCTGACCTGAGCATCAGAAACTCTCACCTGGAAGTGTTTGGCTCCGCCCCCTCGGGACTCATGCAGGTAAACGGCTCTGCCTCCTTTCACCTGGGATTATAAATCCAATCAGGAGCCTAACCCTCCCCCTCTCCTCCCTCCCTCTCTTCCTCTTTTCCTCTCTTCCTCCCTAATTCTGTCTTGTCTCACCTGTGCAGAAGCTCCGCCTCCCTTCGGGACAGGTGCATCAGGTGCAGGTGCAGTTTTTGTGGTACGGCACGAGGAGCGAGAGGCGAGACAAGAGCGGCGCGTACCTGTTCCTGCCAGGAGAGGAGGGCGCACAGGTGAGCTCCCGTCAAGAGAGGAGAGCGCACAGGTCACGCCTCTTTGGACACGCCCCATTCTCTTTGCAGCTGTGCGATTGGTCAGATTTGTGTCATTAATATTCGTGTTTGCAGCCATACGATTGGTCAGATTTGTCTCATTAATATTCGTGTTTGCAGCCGTATGATTGGTCAGATTTGTCTCATTAATATTCGTGTTTGCAGCCGTATGATTGGTCAGATTTGTCTCATTAATATTCGTGTTTGCAGCCGTACGATTGGTCAGATTTGTCTCCTTAATATTCGTGTTTGCAGCCGTATGATTGGTCAGATTTGTCTCATTAATATTCGTGTTTGCAGCCGTACGATTGGTCAGATTTGTCTCATTAATATTCGTGTTTGCAGCTGTACGATTGGTCGGAGCCTCCAGTGGTGCGTGTTTCCGTTGGTCCGGTCTTCTCTGACATCACTTCCTGTTTCCGACACATCACTCACATGGTGCGGCTCTTTCACATTAAAGGTGAGGCTTTTACTTTGAAAACCCCCATAGAAGTCACATACCCTCTGGTCAAACCCTGCGGTGTGTCTTGCTTTAGGGCACGAGGGCAGGTCAGTGCAGATCCAGAACACTGTGGACATCAGGTCAGAATTTAACCGGGAACTCGTCATGCGATTGGTCACCAACATCTCCAACGGCAACCGCTTCTTCTCCGACCTCAATGGCTTCCAGGTCAATGGCTGACGGCTCCTCCACCTCCTCCTCCTACTGCTCCTCCTCCTCCAGCTCCTCCTCCTCCTCCTGCTCCTCCTTCAGCTCCACCTCCTCCTCCTACTGCTCCTCCTCCTCGCTCCTCTCCTCCTCCTCCTCCTCCTAGCTCCTCTCCTCCAGCTCCTCCTCCTCCTCTCTCCTCCTCCAGCTCCTCCTCCAGCTCTCCTCCTCCAGCTCCTCCTCCTCCTCCAGCTCCTCCTCCTCCAGCTCCTCCTCCTCCTCCTGCTCCTCCTCCTACTGCTCCTCCTCCTCCAGCTCCTCCTCCTCCTCCTCCTCCTCCTCCAGCTCCTCCTCCTCCAGCTCCTCCTCCTCTCCTCTCTCTCTACTGCTCCTCCTCCTCCAGCTCCTCCTCCTCCAGCTCCTCCTCCTCCTCCAGCTCCTCCTCCTGCTCCTCCTCCTGCTCCTCCTCCTGCTTTTCCTCCAGTTCCTCCAGCTCCTCCTCCAGCTCCTCCTCCTGCTCCTCCTCCAGCTCCTCCTCCTGCTCCTCCTCCTGCTCCTCCTCCAGCTCCTCCTCCTGCTCCTCCTCAAGCTCCTTCAGCTCCTCCTCCAGCTCCTCCTGCTCCTCCTCCAGCTCCTCCTCCAGCTCCTCCAGCTCCTCCTCCTGTTCCTCCTCCTGCTCTTCCTCCAGCTCCTCCTCCTCCTCCTCCAGCTCCTCCTCCAGCTCCTCCTCCAGCTCCTCCAGCTCCTCCTCCTGCTCCTCCTCCAGCTCCTCCAGCTCCTCCTCCTGCTCCTCCTCCTGCTCCTCCTCCTGCTCCTCCTCCAGCTCCTCCTCCAGCTCCTCCTCTGCTCCTCCTCCAGCTCCTCCAGCTCCTCCTCCAGCTCCTCCTCCTCCTGCTCCTCCTCCTGCTCCCTCCAGCTCCTCCTCCAGCTCCTCCTCCTCCTCCTCTGCTCCTCCAGCTCCTCCTCCAGCTCCTCTCTCCAGCTCCTCCAGCTCCTCCTCCTGCTCCTCCTCCTGCTCCTCCTCTCCAGCTCCTCCTCCTGCTCCTCCTCCAGCTCCTCCTCCAGCTCCTCCTCCAGCTCCTCCTCCAGCTCCTCCTCCAGCTCCTCCTCCAGCTCCTCCTCCAGCTCCTCCAGCTCCTCCAGCTCCTCCAGCTCCTCCTCCAGCTCCTCCTCTGCTCCTCCTCCTGCTCCTCCTCAGCTCCTCCTCCAGCTCTCCTCCTGCTCCTCCTCCTCCAGCTCCTCCAGCCCTCCTCCTCCAGCTCCTCCTCCTGCTCCTCCTCTGCTCCTCCTCCAGCTCCTCTCCTCTCAGCTCCTCCTCCTGCTCCTCCTCCTGCTCCTCCTCCAGCTCCTCCTCCAGCTCCTCCTCCAGCTCCTCCTCCTCCAGCTCCTCCTCCTCTCCTCCTCCCTGCTCCTCCTCCAGCTCCTCCTCCAGCTCCTCCTCCTCCTCCTCCAGCTCCTCCTCCAGCTCCTCCAGCTCCTCCTCAGCTCCTCCTCCAGCTCCTCCAGCTCCTCCAGCTCCTCCAGCTCCTGTCCTGTAAACCTCCTCTTTGGTCTTTTGTGTTTCAGACGCTGCAGAGACGAACTCTCAGTAAAATTCCTCTTCAGGCAAATTTCTACCCCATGACCTCGGCCGCCTTCCTCCAGGATCAGGACCAGACCAGAGACCAGACCAGAGACCAGACCAGAGACCAGACCAGAGACCAGACCAGAGACCAGACCAGGACCAGACTCACCCTCCTGTCGGCGCAGAGCCAAGCTGTGGCTGCACTAAAGCCAGGTATGGACCAGGTCTAAATCAGGTCTAAACCAGGTCTAAACCAGGTCTAAACCAGGTCTAAAGCAGGTCTTTGTGCAGGGGTCTTGGAGGTGGTGTTGGACCGCAGGCTGCAGCAGGATGATAATCGAGGACTGGGACAAGGAGTGACAGACAACAAGCTCACAGAGAGTCTGTTCCACATGCTAATAGAGGTACCACCTAACCCCACCCCCAGCCCCCTAACCCCGCCTTCTTCTTCTCATCTCCTCTCTCCTCATCTCCTGTCTTCTTACCTCCTCGTCTCCTACAGGAAGGGGACGGGCCCTGGGGCTCTCACCTGTCACTGCTCTCTCACCTGAGCTCGCTGTCAATCACACATCCCGCCGTCACCATGGCGACGCCTGAAGGCTCTGCCTATGGACACAAGCTCCGCCCCTTCACGGCCATTGGCTCCTCCCTCCCGTGTGACCTGCACCTGCTCAACCTAAGAACCCTGGAGAGTCAACAGGTGAGAACCTTCAGGAGCCTCTAGACTCTGGACACTTACACATTCACTGGAGGCTCCTGTCCTCTGTGGTTCTGTGTGGTTCTGTCTCTGTGAGGTTCTGTGTGGTTCTGTGTGGTTCTGTTTCTGTGTGGTTCTGTGAGGTTCTGTCTCTGTGTGGTTCTGTGTGGTTCTGGTCCGTCTCCTCAGAACATGTGGAGTCTTATCACTAGAGCAGTACCAGAGCTGGCCACTGGGGGCAGTAGTGACCACAGCTGGACAGTGGAAGATAAACCCTTTTTCAAAGAGACGAGAAGTGTTCCCTGGGGTCTCCTCTCGGTGGGACATGAGCACCTCCCGTAGACTGACGGTAAATCGAGAGCTTTGCCTTTCGGCTCCGCTCCCTCTTCACCACAAAGGTCCGATACAGCGACCGCATCACTGCCAACACTGCACCTGTCCACCTGTCAGTCTCACACTCCACATATTTGGACATATAAACATATAATTGGAGCACCAATGATGCCATATTTTAAAGTTGAACCTCACAGTGATACAGTGAGGTGACACATTGAAGTGATACAGTGATACAGTGAGGTGATACAGTGAAGTGATACAGTGAGGTGATACAGTGAGGTGATACAGTGAGGTGATACAGTGATACAGTGATACAGTGAGGTGATACAGTGATACAGTGATACAGTGAGGTGATACAGTGAGGTGATACAGTGATACAGTGAGGTGATACAGTGAGGTGATACAGTGAGGTGATACAGTGACAGTGAGGTGATACAGTGATGATGATACAGTGAGTGATACAGTGAGGTGAGTGATGATACAGTGAGGTGATACAGTGACAGTGATACAGTGAAGTGAAGTGATACAGTGAGGTGATACAGTGAGTGATACAGTGAGGTGATACAGTGAAGTACAGTGAGTGTGATACAGTGAGGTGATACAGTGAGGTGATACAGTGAGGTGACAGTGAGGTGATACAGTGAAGTGATACAGTGAGGTGATACAGTGAAGTGATACAGTGACAGTGATGATACAGTGAAGTGATACAGTGAGTGAGTGATGATACAGTGAGGTGATACAGTGAAGTGATACAGTGAAGTGATGATACAGTGAGTGATACAGTGATGATACAGTGATATACAGTGAAGTGATACAGTGAGTGATGATACAGTGAGGTGATACAGTGATACAGTGAAGTGATGATGATACAGTGAGGTGATACAGTGAAGTGATACAGTGAGGTGATACAGTGAAGTGATACAGTGAGTGATACAGTGATGATACAGTGAAGTGATGACAGTGAAGTGATGATACAGTGAGGTGATACAGTGAAGTGATACAGTGATAGTGAGTGATACAGTGAATACAGTGATGATATGACAGTGAGTGATACAGTGATGATAGTGATACAGTGAGGTGATACAGTGAAGTGATACAGTGATACAGTGATACAGTGAGGTGACAGTGAGTGTGATACAGTGAAGTGATACAGTGACAGTGAGTGATACAGTGATACAGTGAAGTGATACAGTGAAGTGATACAGTGAGGTGATACAGTGAGGTGATACAGTGATACAGTGAAGTGATACAGTGAAGTGATACAGTGATACAGTGAAGTGATACAGTGATGATACAGTGAGGTGATACAGTGAAGTGATACAGTGAGTGATACAGTGATACAGTGAGGTGATACAGTGAAGTGATACAGTGAGTGATACAGTGAAGTGATACAGTGAAGTGATACAGTGAGGTGATACAGTGAAGTGATACAGTGAGGTTATACAGTGAGGTGATACAGTGAAGTGATACAGTGAAGTGATACAGTGAAGTGATACAGTGATACAGTGAAGTGACAGTGATACAGTGAAGTGATACAGTGATACAGTGAGTGATACAGTGATGATACAGTGAAGTGATACAGTGATACAGTGATGATACAGTGATGATACAGTGAAGTGATACAGTGAAGTGATACAGTGATGATACAGTGATGATACAGTGATACAGTGAGGTGATATAGAAGTGATACAGTGAATACAGTGATACAGTGAGGTGATACAGTGGATGATACAGTGATACAGTGATGATACAGTGATACAGTGATGATATAGTGATAGTGAGTGATACAGTGAGGTGATACAGTGAAGTGATACAGTGACAGTACAGTGAAGTGATACAGTGATATACAGTGATATAGTGAGGTGATACAGTGAGGTGATACAGTGATACAGTGATGATACAGTGAAGTGATACAGTGATGATACAGTGAGGTGATACAGTGATATACAGTGATACAGTGAAGTGATACAGTGATACAGTGAGGTGATACAGTGAAGTGATACAGTGAGTGATACAGTGAGGTGATACAGTGATACAGTGAGGTGATACAGTGATGTGATACAGTGATACAGTGAGGTGATACAGTGAAGTGATACAGTGATACAGTGAGGTGATACAGTGAGGTGATACAGTGAGGTGATACAGTGATGAGTGAGTGTGATACAGTGAAGTGATACAGTGAAGTGATACAGTGATACAGTGAGGTGATACAGTGAAGTGATACAGTGATACAGTGAGGTGATACAGTGATGATACAGTGAGGTGATACAGTGATGTACAGTGAGGTGATACAGTGAAAGTGATACAGTGAAGTGAGGTGATACAGTGATACAGTGATACAGTGATACAGTGAGGTGATACAGTGAGTGATACAGTGAAGTGATACAGTGAGGTGATACAGTGAGGTGATACAGTGAAGTGATACAGTGAAGTGATACAGTGATACAGTGAGGTGATACAGTGAAGTGATACAGTGATACAGTGAAGTGATACAGTGATACAGTGAGGTGATACAGTGAGGTGATATAGTGGGGTGATACAGTGATACAGTGAGGTGATACAGTGAAGTGATACAGTGATACAGTGAAGTGATACAGTGATACAGTGAGGTGATACAGTGAGGTGATATAGTGGGGTGATACAGTGATACAGTGAGGTGATACAGTGAAGTGATACAGTGATACAGTGAGGTGATACAGTGAGGTGATACAGTGAGGTGATAGAGTGGGGTCATACAGTGAGGTGATACAGTGAAGTGATACAGTGATACAGTGAGGTGATACAGTGAAGTGATACAGTGATACAGTGATACAGTGAGGTGATACAGTGAGGTGATATAGTGGGGTGATACAGTGAGGTGATACAGTGAGGTAATACAGTGAAGTGATACAGTGATACAGTGAGGTGATATAGTGAAGTGATACAGTGAAGTGATACAGTGAGGTGATACAGTGAAGTGATACAGTGATACAGTGAGGTGATACAGTGAGGTGATATAGTGGGGTGATACAGTGGGTTGATACCGTTTTTCTAACACCAAAGTTAATGCACTTTTTTCTTTATGACGTGGTTTTAGATCAGTATTGTGATTTAAAATTAATAGAATGATCCACAGGTCAAAGGTCAAATCTATAGAGACACTATAGGAAGGATTTAAATAAAAGTCTGTTGTTTCAGATTGAATCAATTTGAGACGCAGGTTTTATAATTACTACTCCTCTGTTCACTCTCTAAGGCTCTCATGTTGACTCTCTAAGGCTCTCATGTTCACTGACCCTGACTGATGTTCTGATCATGTGACACAGGAAGCAGGAAGTCCGTCACAGGAAGTGGCTCTGCTGCTGCACAGGAAGGGTTTTGACTGTAGCTCCGCCCCTGACCCAGAGCCAGAGTGCACGTGGAGCGTGCACGAGGAGGTATGTGCACACGTCAAACACTTCAACGGGTTCGTCTAAAAACATGATTGAGTGTTAGTATTGGGGCTGGGCATCATAATGTTGCAGTTACGATACATACTTCGATACACAGACCACGATACGATACGATACACACCTCGATACACAAGCCACGATACGATACGACACATACCTCGATACACAAGCCACGATACGATACGACACATACCTCGATACACAGACCACGATACGATACGACACATACCTCGATACACAGGCCACGATACGATATGATACATACCTCGATACACAGACCACGATACGACACATACCTCGATACACAGACCACGATACGACACATACCTCGATACACAGGTCACGATACGATATGATACATACCTCGATACACAGATACGATACACAGACACATACGACACATACCTCGATACACAGGTCACGATACGATATGATACATACCTCGATACACAGACCACGATACGACACATACCTCGATACACAGGTCACGATACGATATGATACATACCTCGATACACAGGCCACGATACGATATGACACATACCTCGATACACAGGCCACGATACGATATGATACATACCTCGATACACAGGTCACGATACGACACATACCTCGATACACAGGTCATGATAAGATACATACCTTGATACACACGATATGATATGAGACATTCCTCGATACACAGGCCACGATACGATATGATACATACCTCGATACACAGGTCACGATACGATACACACCTCGATACACAGGCTACGATACGATATGATACACACCTCGATACACAGGCCACGATACGATATGATACATACCTCGATACACAGGTCACGATACGATACACACCTCGATACACAGGCCACGATACGATATCATACATACCTCGATACACAGACCACGATACGACACATACCTCGATACACAAGCCACGATACGACACATACCTCGATACACAGGCCACGATACGATACACATACCTCGATACACAGACCACGATACGACGACACACACCTCGATACACAGGCCACGATACGACACACACCTCGATACACAGGCACGATACGACACATACATACCTCGATACACAGGCCACGATACGGCCACGATACGACACATACCTCGATACACAGACCACGATACGACACATACTTCGATACACAAGCCACGATACGATACATACCTCGATACACAAGCCACGATACGACACATACCTCGATACACAGCCACGATACAACACATACCTCGATACACAGGCCACGATACGATACGACACATACCTCGATACACAGGCCACGATACAACACATACCTCGATACACAGGCCACGATACGATATGATACATACCTCGATACACAGATATACCACGATACGATATGATACATACCTCGATACACAGGATCACGATACAACACATACCTCGATACACAGGCACGATACATACACATACCTCGATACACAGGCCACGATACATACGACACATACTCGATACATACGATACAACATACATACCTCGATACACAGACCACGATACGATATGATACATACCTCGATACACAGACACAGATACGATACGATACATACCTCGATACACACAGCGATCACGATACGACACATACCTCGATACACAGACACGATACGACAATACCTCATACACAGATACACTCGATACACAGATACCACGATACACAGACACGATACCTCGATACCAGATACACACCCACGATACGATATGATACATACCTCGATACACAGGCCACGATACGATACACACCTCGATACACAGGCCACGATACGACACATACGACTACGATACACACATACGATACACATACCTCGATACACAGACAGATACGACACATACGATACGACACGATACACACGATACACACCACGATACGACACATACGATACGATACACAGACCACGATACGACACATACCTCGATACACACCACGATACGACACATACTCGATACACAAGCCACGATACGATACACACCTCGATACACAGGCCACGATACGACAGGCCACGATACGATACCTCGATACACAGGCCACGATACGATACGATACATGATACATACCTCGATACACAGACCACGATACGACATACATACCTCGATACACACGATACGATACATACCTCGATACACAGATACACACATATACGATACCACGACGATACGACATACCACGATACACACAGGCCACGATACGACACATACCTCGATTACACAGGCCACGATACCACACGATACGACACATACCTCGATACACAGGCCACGATACGATACATACCTCGATACACAGACCACGATACCACGATACGATACATACCTCGATACACAGGCCACGATACGATACATACACCTCGATACACAGACCACGATACGACACATACCTCGATACACAGACCACGATACGACATACATACCTCGATACACATACACAGACCACGATACGATACATACATACCTCGATACACACAGACCATACGATACGATACATACATATACGATACGATACAGGCCACGATACGACACATACCTCGATACACGATACAGGCCACGATACGATATATACCTCGATACACAGGCCACGATACGATACATACACCTCGATACACAGGCCACGATACGACACATACCTCGATACACAGGCCACGATACGATACGATACATACCTCGATACACAGGCCACGATACGATACCTCGATACACACATACGATACACATACACAGGCCACGATACGATACACATACCTCGATACACAGGCCACGATACGATACACATACCTCGATACACAGGCCACGATACGATACGACACATACCTCGATACACAGGCCACGATACGATACACATACCTCGATACACAGGCCCACGATACGATATGACATACCTCGATACACAGACCACGATACGATACATACCTCGATACACAGGCCACGATACGACACATACCTCGATACACAGGCCACGATACGATACACATACCTCGATACCACAGACCACGATACGACACAATACCTCGATACCATACGACGATACGATACATACACAGACCACGATACGATATGATACATACCTCGATACACAGACCACGATAACGATACACATGATACATACCTCGATACACAGATACGATACATACGACGATACGACACATACCTCGATACACAGGCCACGATACGATACACACATACGATACATACACCACAGCATACGATACGACACATACCTCGATACACAGGCCACGATACGATACGATACATACCTCGATACACAGGCCACGATACGATACACATACCTCGATACACACAGGCCACGATACGATATGATACATACCTCGATACACAGGCCACGATACGCCACGATACGATATATACATACCTCGATACACAGACCACGATACGACACATACCTCGATACACAGCCACGATACGATACGATACATATACCTCGATACACAGGCCACGATACGATACGATACATACCTCGATACACAGGCCACGATACGATACAACATACCTCGATACACAGGCCACGATACGATACGACACATACCGATACGATACACAGATACACATACGATACACACGATACGATACATACCGATACACAGGCACGATACACGATACATACCTCGATACACAGATACGATACGACACATACGATACGACACACAGATACGACACATACCTCATACACAGGCCACGATACGACACATACCTCGATACACAGATACGATACATAGATACACATACGACGATACACACACTGACGATACGACACCACATACGACACATACGATACAGATACACGATACATCGACACATACTCGATACACAGCCACGATACGATACGATACATACCTCGATACAACAGGCCACGATACGAACATACCTCGATACAGACCACGATACCACATACCTCGATACACAGGCCACATATACCTCGATACACACCATACGATACGATACACAGGCCACGATACGATACGATACCTCGATACACAGGCACATACGATATACGACACATACCTCGATACACACAGCACATATTACACATACATACGATACCACACGATACGATACAACCCTCGATACACAGGCCACGATACGACACATACCTCGATACACAGGCCACGATACGATATGATACATACCTCGATACACAGGTCACGATACGATACACACCTCGATTACACAGGCCACGATACGATACACATACCTCGATACACAGGCACGATACGATACGATACACAGCCACGATACGATACACACCTCGATACACAGGCCACGATACGACACATACCTCGATACACAGGCCACGATACGACACATACCTCGATACACAGGCCACGATATGACACATACCTCGGTACAGTGCACTGTGAATTCGATAAGATTCAGTACAATATATTTCGATGCAGTTCAATAAAAAAATAGAGGCTAAATCACGGCTGTGACACTAAAAGTATCTGATAAACTACTTCTTGTGCAAAGTTCGTATGAAAGAAACGTTTTAATACTCCAAACAGTGAAAATGTCATGTATCGCATAAACGAGTTTCCTTCTTCTGAACAAACAACAAAACTTTAACTGTAACAAATTTATTTAGTAAAATATACCAAAAAATACTCTTGGCGGTATATCGATACAGCAGCTCACGATGTCAATACTGTTTTGTACGACATCGATATTTCAGTATTTTTGCACACCCCTTGTTAGCATGCTAACCTTTACGTTTTTGTTCTTGTCAGATAAACTTGTCCCAGGTTTTGGCACCACTTCATCTGCGCTCTCTGCGTCAGTCCGGACTCACTCTGCTGCGATTGGACGACCAGCCAGAATCTGCCCAGCAACAGGAACATGTGCACAAAATCCCACCCATGGAAATCCGCGCTTTCCGAGTGCAGCTGCAATGAGCGGCCAATCAGAAGCCAGTATCAGGGAGCGGACCAATCAGAGGCGAATGTTAGGCATCAGGTTTTAAACACTTTAAGACAATTGAATGTCTCCTGAAAGAATGATTTTATGAAGAAATGTTTATCTAAAACTTGAGAACATTGTGGAAAACTGATTTAATCTAGAAGCAGTTAAATATTAGTCATTTTTTAGTAGGAGAGTGATAGAGGAGTGACAGAGGGTGTGAGAGGGATTATAAAGAGTGATGGGGTGATAGAGGGATGATGGAGGATGATAGAGTGTAATGGGGGGTGATGGGGGGTGGAAGGTGAGAGGGGAGAGAACATCAGTGTAAGATTTGTTCACCCTCTCACCAGGAAATAACCGTTTCATACCTCACTCTGCCCTGTCAATTTTGACTGTGACCAGGGCATCTGGAGTAAAACCTGAGCTGAGCCCAAAGTGAGTCGAAGCCACTGTTACACTACACCGTCTGAGGAGGGTGTTCAAATGTGAAGAAATATGTCCTTCTGCTGTTTATTTCTGTACAAATCTGTTTTTTATTTTGCTCTTTTGAAGCAGAATAAATTATTTTAATCTGTGGCTCTTTCTACATCTGTTCTTCCACAAACTGCTGCACTGTGGGGTTTGTAGTCTTTCTTGTGAGACAAAAGCCTGAGATCTACACTATCGCACATTGGCAAAATCATTGCGGAGGATGAGTTTCTAAACATTTTGTTTGTGAAAATTAAGAAAATGGCACAAGATGAACTTGTCATGTTTGCCACACAGCGCTGTATTCAGAGGGGAGCAAGAAGATGTAAGTAATGTAAAAATGCTGCCTTGCATTCTCAATGAATTTCAAGACATAGCAACAACTTGGAGCACTGTCGCTAGTCACAGAGAACTCTGCTCTGTTGGGCTCTATTAAGGAATAAATGAACCTTCAGTTTGTTTCATAAAGAAGGAGGAAAATAACAAAAGGACGACAGCAGCAACAAGTTTTAAGAAGGAAGTAAAAAGTGTTGCACCTGTCGATCCTGTCGGAGAAAAGTGTATAAAGTTTGTGCTGAGGTTTTACAGACTTAAAACAGATAGAATAATTGTAAAATATAAAGTTGATACTTGGTGGATTTCACCTGTCGTGGGTTATTTTAGAACATAAACCCCACGATAAACGAGGGACACTGTCCTCTCACCTCAACCTGTGCACATGGACTCACACTTGTCCCGACCGGGACGGAAAACGGAGAATTTCTTGTCCAAGTCTTTGTTAAATGTGCATTTGTGCTTTGGTGTGTTTCAGACTGACCGACTGTTTGTGTCTCGCTCCTTCTGAGTCACAGACGCTGTAGCGGCCAAATGCACCTCCGGCCACTGTGTGGCACTATGTCTTTGTTTTTGTGGTTTGCGACCTATTTAAAACCATTAATTAGCAATGCCAGGTGTTGCAAATTGATGAGGAACAGTCTTTTGACCGTGTTCATGGCTCTTGCTAAAATAAAGGAATATTTGAGCTTTTACTGGACTTTTGGGCTAATTTATATGGAAACACGCGTCAGAACTACCTTTTAAATTTTGCATCCTAGTGGCTTGTGTGGCATAGGGCCACACTGCCCCTACAGACGCTACGAGAGACGCTCAGTTTAATGCCCCAATGAACGATACTGAAAACCCGGACAATTGCATCACTTTATAAAAAAAAAACCCGGACACCCCGGACATGTCTGGGGAAAAACGGACGTTTGGTCACCCTATATAATATACTGTATATGTGCCCCACACATGGAATCTGAAGGTTGGGGCCTGTGCAGTAAAATCTCTACAGCTGAAGGCGAGGCTACAGCTACAAGCACAAACATTCACAATTTTTTTTTCCATTTATTAGTAAATAGTGAACAAACTGTGTGAATCATTACTATTTACTTGAGCATTCAGTATTGTGCTTATAGCATACACAAGGTGAGGGGCATTTTGGGGGGAAAGAAGTTCCCCATCACCCCAATGTGTGAGAATCTGGGGCTCTTGGCTCTGGGGCTCTTGGCTCTGGGGCCTTCTAGTAGAAGCTGTTTGATCTTAAGTGTTTGAGCTGTGGAGACAGGAGCTCAGTGAAACAGAAGCACAGCCATTAAGAGCTTTAAAACAAACATTTTATTCATGTGCATAAAATAAAGATCCACCACTGCAACAGTGAGATGCACCGGCCCCACCGGCCCCACCGGCCCCACTAGCAGCTCTCTAGTGTGAACCTCACAGGATGTAAAGAGCGGCACACCCAAACTTCTGCTTTTTGAATGTGTGAAGACAAGGTCACGAGTTTTACTGCCATTTTCAGCCATGGTCTAGTCCTGGTTCAGTTCTGGTTTAGTCCTGGTCGTGGTTATGGCCCTCACAGCCCTGTTCTTGGTCTGGTCCATCTGCAGTTTGGGTAAGTGAATTGTGTGTCTGTGGGTCAATGACATTTTGCAGTTTTCAAATGCTCAAACAATGAAAAAATAATGGCATACAAAATGTGTAGATTTTCTTGTATATGTAGTGTAAGTACATCTGGCCCCACGCTGGCACCAAAATATGTAGGAGAAATGTCCATGGGCTCACAGCGTGATACTGTGATACCGTGATGTGGGGGGGGGGGGGGGGGGGGGGTTGATGTTAGGGTTAGAATTTAGGAGTTCTAAGTTAAAGCAGCTGGACTCACATGGACTTTGTGAGTGTTTGGCTCTGACTAGAAGTAAATTTGTGGCACCACTCAACAAATGTTGAGAAATATTACCAATCCAATTTAATCAATTACCTATGTTAATTAATTAATTAATTATTAATTAAACAATTGATCTGAAGGTGCGGGGGGGGGGGGGTTATGACGTAGCTCAAATATTACACACTATGTACATTAACAGTTTTACACAAAGAAAGTTTTCACATGACATTTACAAAATCTGTATTAAACACACTGGCCATAGTTCATTGAGTGAATTTAATTTCATTCCTTTCTTTCTCTGGAGAAAGTCTATTGGTTTGAGATGTGGAGTGCATGAGGTCAGTAAATCTTGCTTGGGCGACAGGTCTGAGATCAGGAGGTTCAAGCAAGTGGGGGAAGGGCAGAGTGTCAACAAAGTTCACCCCTGTCAGAGGCTGTTGTCCAAACTTTGTAAGATATCATGGCAATAGCCATGATTTCACATCTTCCATAGGTCAGAGGCCACTCCTCTTACATATATTTATTTTATATTTGCCCCTAGAAAAAAACTTTGATTAAAAACATTTTTTCTGCATTTAAAGCAAGACATATCTTAAAAATGACATTGTTAAAATTTTATTAAATTTAAAATAATTTATATTACTGAAAATTATGAAAACACAAACTGAAATCTACAAATAAACAAGCCAATAAAAATGTTTTTTTGTTTGTTTTTTTTTTCTTAAAGTTTTGAAAATGTTCACAATTTGCCCCAACACAGCATTAACTCCCGCCTGTGGTACCTTTTTTTTCCTAAAAAGAGTAAAACACAACAAAATTGTATCAAACTTAAGCATGTTAACACTTTCCCTCTTTAAATTTAAGTTATTTTGTAAAAAGCTATTATTAACTTATTGATACATGTCAGTATAATCTCAGCATTTCATCCCTTGACATCTGCCCTTTAACCAAATGACGGTTCAACTGAAACACAAAAAAAATCAAATCAAATAAATCACACAAACCGCATCTGTGTAAAGACTGTAATATATTTATTGTCCAACTGCATTTTGAATAATCACTAATGAATTGACCTAACCTAATTTCCTTTATTTATGTGATTATTTTACATTTTAAATTAAAATTATGACTTCAATATTGTCGCAAATGTAATTTTATTTGTATAGTAAAAAATACAAATAAAACTGTAAAATAAATGCAGATATTTCAGTTAAATGTTTCATGTTCCATCAAGAGGCTCAGGTCTGTTTAACACATTTTGTTTCTAAACATTTTTATTCTAAACTGGTTAAACTTTATCCATCAGAGAAACAAAAGTGTCAGTGTTGAACCTCACACCAACAACACCAATGGAAGATTTGAAAATTAGAACAGATTTAAACACAATTTCAAAGTTTTACTGGTTTTTATGTCCAAAACTGTGACATTTGAATTTTTTACGACAAAAACGCCACCAACAAAAACTAAGAAACTAACAAATCTGAGACTTGTGTACACTTCAGAGTCCTGCAGGGTCCACAGAGTGATGTCACAGAGTGATGTCACAGAGTGATGTCACAGAGTGATGTCACAGAGTATTGAAAATGTCTTTCGGTTTTACTGAATGACGATGAAATAAACTTATGGGGACGACTTTATTTAAAACATTTAAAGTTATTTTGTGTTCATGTTGAACATACTTTTATATGTTTCATGTCACTGATTTAAAATGATCGCACAGAGAAAAGTTTGATTTTGTCCATTTTTATAATTTGTGCAAACAAAAATTCCTTCTGTGTGTGTGACTCGAGTCACTGAATGACATTTTGAGACTTCGACCTGTAGTTTTCTTTTAAATTGAGTTTCTTCTTTCAAATGTGTATTTGTACAATTAAAGTGAAATAAAACATGTTGATTTAAATAATTTAAACATGTGTATAATAATAACTAGATAAGTTGTGGCTTCTGGGCACAAAATGCCAACATCACATCACTGACCCGAGTGTGACACTAAACCCGTTTTCAATTTTTACTTTTAAAAATATCTTTGACCCTCTGACCACTGGACAGGACTGAGCCGGGACTAAAGCGGAACTAAAGCAGGACTAAAGCGGGACTAAAGTAGGACTACACCAGGACTGAACAAGGACTAAAGTGTGGTCAGCCCTTGAGTCCATGTGGGCTGGTCCTTGTTCAGACTCTGGACTCTGACACAGACCAGGCTGAAGGAGCTGGTGGAGCTGTGGTAGAACACACTGCTCCAACACGGTTTCTGGTTTCAGTCTGTGTTTGTTTCACATTTATTAGTCAAAGTGCTTTTGGCCCCACAGCGCGGCTCCTTCAGTCTGAAGGGAACTGGCTCCTGTGAGTCTCAAACTATGTCCCAGCTCTGAAATCATCTGATTCACAATCAAGAGTTTCTGAACTCAACCACAGCCTGATCCCACTGGACCACAGCAGCTTCTGTTTCCATCACACTGACCACATGAACCTGTGCGCCCACACTGACCAACACACATTATGTGACATGTCTCTTGTGTGTGCAGGGGTCCTGACAGAAGACAAGAGCTCAGGTAAAGACACTCACACAACAGGCTAACCACTCTGCCACAGTAACACAGGGAGCACACACACTCTCCACTCACAGACATCAGGAGTCTAACCCACAACCTCCCTCACATCGGAGTCCGGTAAAGGGGCGGGGCTTGACTCCTCAGGTAAAGGGGCAGGGCTTCACTCTGTCTCTTGTCTGTTCAGAGTCGCTCAGGTTGGTGGGAGGAGCCAGTCGCTGTGTTGGGACTGTGGAGGTGAAACACAGAGGAGAGTGGAGACGACTGAGGCTCGTTGGATACTGGGACCAGGAGCACACAGCTGGTGTGTGCAGAGACCTGGACTGTGGTTCTGCTGTTTATGGAGAACAGAGATATGATTTTCCAGAGAGTCGTGTGTGGGAAGTCAGATCTGCCTGTGTGAAGAAGTCTTCAGTGAGAGAATGTGTCCCTGGTTCATACACATCTTCCTTTGGTGTGGAGGTGAAGTGTTCAGGTAAAAGTGTGATGGACGATGCTGGGAGTGTGTGTGTGTTTGATTCTTGTTGTAAATGGATTCTACATAAAAGATCCATTTAGACAAAGTTGTGTCTCTGATGACGTCATAGATGAGAAAATAAAGCTGCTTTTGTCTTAAATGTGTTTCATTTGTAAAGTGGAAGTGTCAGTGTGTTTACATGTGCAGCAGGATCCCGGTTATGACACTGTTCTGGACAGAGTGTTTCCATGAGCTCAGAGAAACCAGGATACTCATGTCCCTGTGCACATGCACCATCAGAGGAGACGGGACATTTACACTGGTCGCTATGGCAACTATGGCACAGATATGACAAAAGATAAACATGGAGCATCTTTGATCATTTAAGACTTTTTAACTGATTTACAACAACAAAGATTTATACACATTCCACTAAGAACAGACAGACAGAGATGTAAACGCACTCAGTGAATTTGAAACTAAACCACTCCGACTTTGAATCCAACGCAAACTCCAACACCATAGGGGCGCTGTGCAGCAGGGGGCGCTGTGTGAGTCCAAACGAGCTGTGATGTTGAGTTTATACATTTACTGAGCCTTGACTGCAGCAAGGCTCAGTAACAGTTCCCATCAAAAATCTCAAATCTTTCACTGAACGTCATAAAACCAGAAACACACAGACCTGTGCTCAGTGCACAACCTGTTCACCGCTGTGTGTGATGAACACAAGTGTCCTATTGGTTCAGAGTGATGATGTCACATGTGTGTGTCCTATTGGTTCAGAGTGATGATGTCACACATGTGTGTGTCCTATTGGTTCAGAGTGATGATGTCACATGTGTGTGTCCTATTGGTTCAGAGTGATGATGTCACATGTGTGTGTCCTATTGGTTCAGAGTGATGATGTCACATGTGTGCGTCCTATTGGTTCAGAGTGATGATGTCACATGTGTGTGTCCTATTGGTTCAGAGTGATGATGTCACATGTGTGTGTCCTATTGGTTCAGAGTGATGATGTCACATGTGTGTGTCCTATTGGTTCAGAGTGATGATGTCACATGTGTGCGTCCTATTGGTTCAGAGTGATGATGTCACATGTGTGTGTCCTATTGGTTCAGAGTGATGATGTCACATGTGTGTGTCCTATTGGTTCAGAGTGATGATGTCACATGTGTGCGTCCTATTGGTTCAGAGTGATGATGTCACACATGTGTGTGTCCTATTGGTTCAGAGTGATGATGTCACATGTGTGCGTCCTATTGGTTCAGAGTGATGATGTCACACATGTGTGCGTCCTATTGGTTCAGAGTGATGATGTCACATGTGTCCACAGACTCGGTGCGGTTGGTCTCGGGGTCCGGTCTGTGTTCAGGATCAGTGCAGATCTGGGACGGGTCCTGGACCGGGGTCTGTGACGGGGACTTGGACCAGCGGGGGGCAGAGGTGCTGTGCAGGGAGCTGGGCTGTGGGGCTCCTTCTCTCCTCCAGGGGGCGCTCTCTCCTCTGGGGCAGACGTTCCACTGTGAGGGACATGAGTCTGCTCTGATGGACTGTCCCCGCTCCAACTCAAGCACCTGCTCCTCTGGAGCCACTGTCAACCTCACCTGCTCAGGTAAAGGGGCGGGGCTTCACCTGCTCAGGTAAAGGGGCGGGGCTTCACTCTGTCTCTTGTCTGTTCAGAGCTCAGGTTGGTGGGAGGAGCCAGTCGCTGTGCTGGGACTGTGGAGGTGAGACTCAGAGGAGAGTGGAGACGAGTGGAATCTTATGACCGCTGGGAGCAGGAGGCCACAGCTGCTGTGTGCAGAGACCTGGACTGTGGCTCTGTTGTTTATGGGCAAAGGAGAAATGATTTTCCACAGAGTCGTGTGTGGAGGGTCACATCTACCTGTGTGAAGAAGTCTTCAGTGAGACGATGTGTCTGGGGTTCATCCTCCTCCAATTCCTGGGCTGTGGAGGTGATGTGTTCAGGTAAAATCTGATCTTACATTTTGATGTCTCTCAGATATTTTTTGTAGTTGCTCCAGAGGAGTGTAACACACACACACACACACACACACACAAACTGACTGAGATACTTGAGCACATGTGAACACACTCAGTGGATTTGAATCCAACGCCCCTGTGTCTGTGACGCAAACTCAGCAAACTCCAACACCACAGGAGCTTCGTGCAGCAGGGAGCAGGTCCTGTCCAGGTCCCAGACACACCAGTTGGACGCTTCCACTGAGTTCAAAAGAGCCGTGACGTTGGTTTTATAAATGGAGGTTTATTTGTACTAAATTCCTGACTGCAGCAAGGCTCAGTAACAGTTCCCATCAAAAATCTCAAATCTTTCACTGAACGTCATAAAACCAGAAACACACAAACCTGTGCTCAGTGCACAACCTGTTCACCGCTGTGTGTGATGAACACAACAAGTGTCCTATTGGTTCAGAGTGATGATGTCACACATGTGTGTGTCCTATTGGTTCAGAGTGATGATGTCACACATGTGTGCGTCCTATTGGTTCAGAGTGATGATGTCACACATGTGTGTGTCCTATTGGTTCAGAGTGATGATGTCACATGTGTCCACAGAGTCGGTGCGGTTGGTCTCGGGGTCCGGTCTGTGTTCAGGATCAGTGCAGATCTGGGACGGGTCCTGGACCGGGGTCTGTGACGGGGACTTGGACCAGCGGGGGGCAGAGGTGCTGTGCAGGGAGCTGGGCTGTGGGGCTCCTTCTCTCCTCCAGGGGGCAGACGTTCCACTGTGAGGGACATGAGTCTGCTCTGTCCCCGCTCCAACTCAAGCACCTGCTCCTCTGGAGCCACTGTCAACCTCACCTGCTCAGGTAAAGGGGCGGGGCCTCACTGCTCAGGTAAAGGGGCGGGGCTTCACTGCTCAGGTAAAGGGGCGGGGCCTCACTGCTCAGGTAAAGGGGCGGGGCCTCACTGCTCAGGTAAAGGGGCGGGGCTTCACTCTGTCTCTTGTCTCTTCAGAGCTCAGGTTGGTGGGAGGAGCCAGTCGCTGTGCTGGGACTGTGGAGGTGAACCACAGAGGAGAGTGGAGACGGATGTCTGACAACTTTGACCACTGGGACCAGGAGGTTGCAGCTGTTGTGTGCAGAGTCCTGGACTGTGGTTCTGCTGTTTATGGAGAAAAGAGACGTGATTTTCCACATAGTCCTGCGTGGGAGATCTCATCTGGATGCATGAAGGAGTCTTCAGCGAGAGGATGTGTCGATGGTTCATCTTCTTCCTCTTCCTCGGGTGTGGAGGTGAAGTGTTCAGGTAAAAGTGTTTTTGTAAATGTTCAGGTTGAATGTGTCCAAATAGAAGAAAGGAAACATGTGTGACATGGTTAAATGTGTGAAAAGTCAATTTTGCAGCAGAGCTCTGCTTTAATAGTTGAATCTTGTAGATTGTGTGCAGCAGTGACAGTGACAGACTGTCTCATGTTCTCTTTGCTGATTCTCTGGAGATGGAGTAAACCTGTGTGTTTGTGATGGACGATGCTGGGAGTGTGTGTGTTTGATTCTTGTTGTAAATGGATTCTACATAAAAGATCCGTTTAGACAAAGTTGTGTCTCTGATGACATCATAGATGAGAAAATAAAGCTGCTTTTGTCTTAAATGTGTTTCATTTGTAAAGTGGAAGTGTCAGTGTGTTTACATGTGCAGCAGGATCCCGGTTATGACACTGTTCTGGACAGAGTGTTTCCATGAGCTCAGAGAAACCAGGATACTCATGTCCCTGTGCACATGCACCATCAGAGGAGACGGGACATTTACACTGGTCGCTATGGCAACTATGGCACAGATATAAGTTTTGAACATCACTCAATTGTTTTTAGCAACCCTGAAATGTTGCGTCACTGTTTACAGACCACCAAAAAAATGCATTCTTTTTATCAGTGAGTTTTCTGAGTTTTTATCTATTTTACACAATTCCTTTAATACAATTATTATAACCAGTGATTTTAACTTGCACATAGAGAACCTTTTAGACCCCGTTGCAATCAAATGTTTAAATGTTTTTAAATATATGGATTTTACTCAACATGTCACACAGTCGACTCCCAACAGAGACACACTCTAGATCTGGTCATCACCTGGGTCCTGACCACTAGTGTGTCTCTGTTGTTGACCTGACTGTGTCTGACCACTACTGTGTGTTTTTTAACGTAACTGTTTTCACACAGCGGGAGACGTCTGTGAGAACTGTGAGGAAGCACTGTCTCACCTTGAAGTTGCTGCACATTTTATTGAAGTTTTAGATAAAAATCCCCCAATGGTTTTACCTGCCCCTTGTGATTTTATTACTGACAATTTTAACAGTAAACTACGGTCAGCTCTGGATCTGGTGGCTCCACTCAGAAATAAAAACATCAAAACCAAACTAAAACCCCCATGGAGAAATGAAGAGCTGAACAAAATCCAAGAGAGAGTGCAGAAGGGTAGAATACAGATGGAGAAAAGACAAAACTACAAAAAACACCAATTATTCAGTGATCAACAACGGACATACAACTCTGCAATAAGAAATGCTAGAAACCACAATTTCTCCACAATAATTACCAATCACAAAAATAATCCTAAGGTCCTCTTCTCAACCATTGACAACATTTTAAACCCTGATTTAAGCACATTTTACTTAACACCAACTGACTCTCTCTGTGAGCAGTTTGCAGACCACTTCATGGGAAAGAGAAACACTATCAGATGTGATATTTTATCTTATCAAAGTTCTGTTTTTAACACATCTGAGTGTCTGGCTGCTCCAGAGGAAACACTGGACAGTTTTGTCCTGGTTAACGCTGAGATGTTGGACAAAGTTTTGTCCTCAGTGAGGTCCACCTCTTGTCTTTTAGATCCAATCCCCACACCATTTTTTAAGTCATTTGATGGATCTTTTAGGGATGAGCTTTTAATGATGATGAACTTCTCTCTTCAGATGAGGTCTTTCCCTCTGTCTTCAAATCTGCAGTGGTGAGGCCCCTGCTGAAGAAGAGCAATTAAAATTTTAATGATTTTAAAAACTATCGACCAGTGTCTGACTGTTTTTAAGAAAAATTTTAGAAAAACTTGTTTTTATCCAATTAAATAATTTTTTAGATGATCACAACAGTGTTGAAAAAAATCGATCTGGTTTTAGGGTGAACCACAGCACCGAGACCGCCCTGGCAAAAATTTAAAATGATTTTAGAAAAAATTATGATTGACAAAAGGTGACCATGTTGATTCTACTGGATCTGAGTGCTGCCTTTGACACAGTAGATCACACTATTCTTTTAACTCGCCTAAAACACCTCGGCCTCTCCGGTGCTGTTCACATATGGTTCACATCCTCTCAGAACATTTATGCTGAGTGTGGACACATGCTCCTCCAGGGTCTAGGGCTTTAACTCATATTCCTTCATCACTTTTAGGATTTCCAGTGTTTCCTCTGTAGAAGCCCTCTCGATCAGGAGCAGAGGTCTGTCCCGTGGGCTCCTGGTGGAGGGTTGGTGCTTGGGCCTCATCTCTCCCCTGGGCCCTGTGGCTGTTCCTGGTGACCGCGGATGACTCTCTGCTCCTGGTGTTGCCGTGACGTTGGGTTTATAAATGGAGGTTTATTTGTACTAAATTCCTGACTGCAGCAAGGCTCAGTAACAGTTCCCATCAAAAATCTCAAATCTTTCACTGAACGTCATAAAACCAGAAACACGCAAACCTGTGCTCAGTGCACAACCTGTTCACCGCTGTGTGTGATGAACACAACAAGTGTCCTATTGGTTCAGAGTGATGATGTCACATGTGTGCGTCCTATTGGTTCAGAGTGATGATGTCACATGTGTGCGTCCTATTGGTTCAGAGTGATGATGTCACACATGTGTGCGTCCTATTGGTTCAGAGTGATGATGTCACATGTGTCCACAGACTCGGTGCGGTTGGTCTCGGGGTCCGGTCTGTGTTCAGGATCAGTGCAGATCTGGGACGGGTCCTGGACCGGGGTCTGTGACGGGGACTTGGACCAGCGGGGGGCAGAGGTGCTGTGCAGGGAGCTGGACTGTGGGGCTCCTTCTCTCCTCCAGGGGGCGCTCTCTCCTCTGGGGCAGACGTTCCACTGTGAGGGACATGAGTCTGCTCTGATGGACTGTCCCCGCTCCAACTCAAGCACCTGCTCCTCTGGAGCCACTGTCAACCTCACCTGCTCAGGTAAAGGGGCGGGGCTTCACTGCTCAATTCAAGGGGCGGGGCTTCACTGCTCAGGTAAAGGGGCGGGGCTTCACTTTGTCTCTTGTCTGTTCAGAGACGGTCAGATTGGTGGGAGGAGCCAGTCGCTGTGCTGGGACTGTGGAGGTGAGATTCAGAGGAGAGTGGAGACGAGTGGATCCCTCTGGATTATTCGGCAACTGGTACCAGGCGAACACAGCTGCTGTGTGCAGACAACTGGACTGTGGCTCTGCTGTTCACACAGAAAAGAGAAATGATTTTCCACAGAGTCGTGTGTGGAGGGTTAGACCTGACTGTGTGTTGAAGTCTTCAGTGAGAGGATGTATCTATGATTCATCCTCCTCTTCCCAGGGTGTGAAGGTGGTGTGTTCAGGTAAAAGTCTAATTTTACAGTTTTATGTTTGATGATGATGATGTTTTTTCTAGTTGCCCCAGAGAAATGTCACACACACACACACAAACACACACACACACAGACTGATGTGTCCAATCACGTGTCTCCACAGAGCTCCTGAATCGTCCAATCATCTCCGTGTCTGTGAGTGACGGGGCGTCCGAGCTCCAGCCTCAGGGGGTGCGGGTGCAGCTGGGCTCAAAGTTCAGGGTCAAATGCTCCGTGGAGCCACAGTACCCGGGAGGCTCCTTCCGGCTCCTCTCTCCCGCCGCGCCCCCCGCTCAGAACCGCACCCTGCCCGCCGTCAATCACTCCGCCCACTTCCTGTTCTCTGACGCTGATCACGCCCACAAAGGAAACTACATCTGTGTTTACCTCCTGCAGGTGTTCAACCACAACTTCTCCTCTCAGAGCCACACACTCCAGCTCTCTGTGGGAGGTATGTCCAGACACAGACTCAGGGGAGGGTCCTGGTCTGGGTCCTGGTCTGGGTCCTGGTCTTGGTCTGATCTGGGTTCTTTTGTGTTGCAGAGTCAGACTCAGACCTGATCATCAGAGTCGTGGTGATTCTTCTGTTGAAGCTCCTGTACATCCTCCCAATGTCCTACTACTACTGCAAGGTACTGACTCTAGACCTGGTTTAGGCCTAATTTAGTCCTGGTTTAGACCATATACTGTACATATCTGTGTCTAATTTTTTAGCTGCCAGGCTCCAAACAGGAAGTGTTCATGGGTGTGACTGGGCACCATGGACTCTGGCTCCAGTTCTGTTTGTGTGTAAAAATCGCGGCCCCTCTCTTTGGACCTGCTGCTGTCAGGTTCCTCACTCTGACCTTAAGATATTGTTCTGAACCTGCTCCACATGATCCTGGGGTTTAGACTTTTTGTCCCAAATCAGATCTGAACATTAACAAACCAATCAGGCTCCAGATGAGTCGCTGTAACTGCTAGCCCCGATGAGCTTCATTTGGAGCTGAATGCTGTGGGTGTCGTCACGAACACTTTTTCAGTCTGTGGTCCTGGTTTTGTGACCTGTGGATGTGCTCTGTCCTGTTGTTTCAGGTTTGGGCCAGAAGGGGCACCAGAGAGAGGACCTCAGAGGACCTGGAGTTAGACCAGTTCAGATCCACCTGAGACCTGGACTTAGATCAGGTCAGGTGTGAGTCCTGGACTTAGACCGGGTCAGGTGTGAGGGATGTTCAGTCCATTTGTGTAAATACAGTCACTGTTTTGTTCTTTTGTTTAGTGACACTTTTTATAATCCTTCTATTGTTGGTGTTTCATTTTTTAAAATTAGCTTTTACTAATGTTTCACAAACTCAATCCAGTCACTTCAAATTAAACATTGCACAGTGTTCGTAGACTTGAGGCTTTGGTTTGAAATGATTCTGATGCACAGGATCCAGGTGCAGTCTACTTCCTGTTAAGGCCAAAGAGCTTTGGTTTAGTTTGAAATGAGACGACCCATAGAAATCATAGAAGGTCTTAGCCTCTGGAGCGTCCGACAGAACGACGCCCTCTGCTACTCTTAAATCTCTCTCACTCTAAAATATACAGTGGTCCATCATTTATCGTGGGGGTTACGTTCTAAAAATAAGATGTGATAGGTGAAATCCACAAAGTATCAACTTTATATTTTACAATTATTCTATCTGTTTTAAGTGTGTAAAACCCCTCACCACACACTTTATACACTTTTTTTCAGACAGGACAGATGCAATCCTTTTAATATTCTTCTTAAAACTTATTGCTGCTGTCGTCCTTATGTTATTTTTCTCCTTCTTTTATATAACGAACCGAAGATTAATTTATTCCATAATGAAGCCTACAGGGCAGAGTCCTGCACGGCTCCATTTTTGAAGACCTGCACCCAGGCAGTACAGCGCCGCACTCGCCTGTTAACCCGAGGTTATATCAAACTTTTGTGCTGCCTACGCCATGGACTGAACCAAGACTAAACCAGGACTAACCCAGGACTGATTCCAGGACTGAAGAGAAGGAGTAATCCTGGACTGAACTAGGACTAAAACAGGAGTAAACCAGGACTAAATCAGGACTAAACCAGAACAGGACTCACTGTCAGATCAGGCTCAGTGGTGACCGCAGGAGAAAGGACCTGCGCAGAGCTCCGCACCTCACCTCGGTAAGAGCCTGATTGCGCTTTGTGGACAAACTGCTCGGTGTTCTCTCTCTTAAATCCAAGATTAGTCCTGGTTTAATCCTGACCCACCCGTGTGTAATTACTACCCGCCTGTAATACGCATTACGCAGTCATACACTGTAAAAAAAAAAAAAAACATGCAAAATTGGACCCAAAAAATATCCGCATAACAGCGAAATTCTTAAAGGTGAACCACCGTATAGTGAGAGACGACTGTATATACAAAGTTGTAAATAATGTAATGTAATAATGTATCCAAAGGTCACATGTTGCCATGTGCCAGAGTCTTACATTCATATGTTTGTATATTGTACATATAGTCATAGTTTCAGAGGCATTTTGTTCATGGAGCTACTTTAAAAGGTTCATATAAGAAAGTGTCACTATAGAAATGTGCTCAGTGTTGTTATATTTGCATTTGACCAATAAAATTAACACATTTGAATGAAACACATTTCTGTTTTTGTTAGGGTTATGGGGTTAGGGGGTTAGGGGTTAGGGTTACCCACATAGCAAAACGTACCCGGGTTCGGGTTAGGGTTAGGGCTGGATCCGTGGCGGATGCACCCGATGATTCGCCGCGGATCCGCAAAACGCCTCTGCTGCGGATCAGGAAAAACAAGCCCGGATCCGCGGCAGAGGTGCGGCTGATCCGCTGCGTATCTCGCGGATCCGTGCAGGACCCATTTTGGATCCGCGTTCAGAACTGGGTTATCTGCCCCGGATCTGTTTATTATTTCATTAGGAGCCTAAATCTGAATGCATGTTGTGCTCTGTAATTTGTAGAGTATTATTGAGTTCCACTTGTGGACTGTAATGGACTGACGCACTGTGTGTGTTTGTTTGTGTGTGTGAGAAGTGAGAACTGCTCTGAGATACTGCTAATGAATTGCCCTATGGGATCAATAAAGTTTTCTGAATCTGAATCTGAATATGCTTTAGATTTAACACTGATCCACTTCCTACTAACCTAAAAACACACCAGCGGCATTTGCATTGTAATTGTACATAAAACTTTTACAGCAAGTTTATTTAAATCATTAATTAGAAATCTTAGGACATGAGTCAACCCTAACCCTAAGCATTTTTTTTTTAAATAGCAAAAAATAAATATAAGCTCTATGAGTAAAAGCCTGGACGAGTGTCGCCACATACCATACTGTTAAAACTAAAACTGAACTTGTGTTTCCCACCACAGTACAATTAGATGGATGGTTGTTCTTATAGAGTGTGCAGTGTGGGAGCTTCAGAGCCTCTGTCTTTAGCTTCAGTCTGAGGCAGATGTGAGGTGCAGTGAGTCTGGCTCCTCTTCAGTCCTTCTGGTGAAGATCCAGTCTGTCAGTGTCCAGCGCTGAGCTTCCATTTTCTCATCCATCCATCCATTTTCGTCCGCTTATCCGGGGCTGGGTCGCGGGGGGAGCAGCCTAAGCAGGGACTCCCAGACTTCCTTCACCCCAGACACGTCCTCCAGCTCCTCCGGGGGGACCCCGAGGCGTTCCCAGGCCAGCCGAGAGACATAGTCCCTCCAGCGTGTCCTGGGTCTTCCCCGGGGCCTCCTCCCGGCGGGACATGCCCGGAACACCTCCCGAGGGAGGTGTCCAGGAGGCATCCGGAACAGATGCCCGAGCCTCAACTGGCTCCTCTCGACGTGGAGGAGCAGCGGCTCTACTCCGAGCTCCTCCCGTGTGACTGAGCTCCTCACCCTGTCTCTAAGGGAGACGCCCAGACACCCTGCGGAGGAAACTCATTTCGAGCGCTTGTATCCGCGATCTCGTCCTTTCGGTCACTACCCAGAGCTCATGACCAGAGGTGAGAGTAGGAACGAAGACTGACCGGTAAATCGAGAGCTTCGCCTTTCGACTCAGCTCCTCTTCACCACAACGGTCCGATACAGCGACCGCATCACTGCAGACGCTGCACCTGTCCACCTGTCAATCTGCCCACGCTGCACCTGTCCACCTGTCAATCTCACGTTCCGTCCTCCCCTCACTCGTGAACAAGACCCCGAGATACTTGAACTCCTCCACTTGAGGCAAAGACTCCCCACCCACCTGGAGAGGGCAAGACACCTTTTTCCGGTCGAGAACCATGGCCTCGGACTTGGAAGAGCTGATCCTCATCCCAGCCGCTTCACACTCGGGTCAAACCGCCCCAGTGCACATTGCAGGTCCTGGTTCGATGAAGCCAACAGGACAACATCGTCCGCAAACAGCAGAGATGAAATCCTGTGGTCCCCAAACCGGACACCCTCCGGCCCCTGACTGCGCCTAGAAATTCTGTCCATAAATACAATGAACAGAACCGGTGACAAAGGGCAGCCCTGGCGGAGTCCAACATGCACCGGGAACAGGTCTGACTTACTGCCGGCAATGAACACAGCTCCTGCTCCGGTCATACAGGGACCGGACAGCCCTTAGCAAAGGGCCCCGGACCCCATACTCCCAGAGCACCCCCCACAGGACACCACGAGGGACACGGTCGAATGCCTTCTCCAGATCCACAAAACACATGTGGACTGGTTGGGCAAACTCCCATGAACCCTCGAGCACCCTATGGAGAGTGTAGAGCTGGTCCAGTGTTCCACGGCCAGGACGAAAACCACACTGCTCCTCCTGAATCCGAGGTTCGACTATCGGCCGGATTCTCCTCTCCAGTCCCTGGCATAGACCTTACCGGGAAGGCTGAGGAGTGTGATTCCCCTATAGTTGGAACACACCCTCCGGTCCCCCTTCTTATACAGAGGGACCACCACCCCGGTTTGCCAGTCCAGAGGTACTGTCCCCGACCGCCACGCGATGTTGAAGAGGCGTGTCAGCCAAGACAGCCCCACAACATCCAGAGACTTCAGGTACTCAGGACGGATCTCATCCAACCCCGGAGCCTTGCCACCAAGGAGCTTGCCAGCCACCTCAGTGACTTCGGCCAGGGTGATGGATGAGTCCACCTCCGAGTCCCCAGCCTCGGCCTCCTCCTCGGAGGACGTGACGGTGGGATTGAGGAGATCCTCAAAGTTTTCCTTCCACCGCCGGACAACGTCCCCAGTCGAGGTCAACAGCTCTCCCCCCGCACTGTAAACAGTGTTGGTGAAGAACTGCTTCCCCCTCCTGAGGCGCCGGACGGTTTGCCAGAATCTCTTTGAGGCCGTCCGATAGTCCTCCTCCATGGCCTCCCCGAACTCCTCCCAGCTCCGAGTTTTTGCCTCCGCGACCACACGGGCTGCAGCACGCTTGGCCCGCCGGTACCTGTCAGCTGCCTCAGGAGTCCCCCGAGCCAGCAAGGCCCGATAGGACTCCTTCTTCAGCTTGACAGCATCCCTTACTTCCGGTGTCCACCACCGGGTTCTGGGGTTGCCGCCGCGACAGGCACCACAGACCTTACGCCCACAGCTCCGAGCAGCTGCATTGACAATAGAGGCCGAGAATGAAGCCCACTCGGACTCCATGTCTCCAGCCTCCCCCGGAATCCGGGAGAAGTCCTCCTGGAGGTGCGAGTTGAAGGTCCCTCTGACAGAGGGCTCCGCCAGACGTTCCCAACAGACCCTCACTACACGCTTGGGCCTGCCAGGTCTTTCCGGCTTCCTCCTCCGCCAGCGAACCCAACTCACGACCAGGTGGTGATCAGTTGACAGCTCAGCCCCTCTCTTCACCCGAGTGTCCAAGACACGCGGCCGGAGATCAGATGACACGACGACAAAGTCGATCATCGACCTCCGGCCTAGGGTGTCCTGGTGCCACGTGCACTCATGGACCTTGTGCTCGAACATGGTGTTCGTTATGGACAAACTGTGACTAGCACAGAAGTCCAATAACAAAACACCGCTCGGGTTCAGATCAGGGAGGCCGTTCCTCCCAATCACCCCTCTCCAAGTGTCACTGTCGTTGCCCACGTGGGCGTTGAAGTCCCCCAGGAGAACAACGGAGTCCCCGGTCGGTGCACTGTCTAGTACCCCTCCCAAGGACTCCAAGAAGGCCGGGTACTCGAGTACTCAGCACTGCTGTTCGGCCCGTAGGCCGACACCACAGTGAGAGACCTGTCCCCGACCCGAAGCCGCAGGGACGCGACCCTCTCGTTCACCGGGGTGAACTCCAACACACAGCGGCTGAGCTGTGGGGCAATGAGCCCACACCACACCCACCAGCCCCACCCCCCACACCAGCCCCACCCCCCCCACACCAGCCCCACCCCCCCACACCAGCCCCACCCCCCACACCAGCCCCACCCCCCCCACACCAGCCCACCGCTGCTCCCCGCGGCCAACGCCAGAGAAATGGAGAGTCCAGCCCCTCTCAAGGAGTTGGGTTCCAGAGCCCAAACTGTGCGTGGAGGTGAGGCCGACTAGATATAGCTCAGGCTCCTCCCCCCCAGCGAGGTGACATTCCATGTCCCCAGAGCCACAGTCTCCATGTCCGGAGATCCGGTCGCCGAGGCCCCCGCCGTCGACTGCTGCCCAGATCTCTCTGCACCGGCCCCATATGGATCCTCCCGCGGGTGGTGGGCCCACGTGAGGACGGCCCCACGTCGCTCCTTCGGGCTGAGCCCGGCCGAGCCCCGTGGGGGAGGCTCGGCCACCAGGCGCTCGCTGGCGAGCACCCACCCCAGGCCTGGCTCCAGGGTGAGGCCCCGGTGACGCCGATCCGGGCGACGTAACTGGCCTTGCTCGTACACTCATCATAGGGGCTTCTGAACCGTTCTTCGTCTGACCCGTCCCCCCGGACCTGTTTGCCTTGGGTGACCAGGGGCATGAAGCCCCCGACAACATAGCTCCCGGGATCATTCGGGCATCAAACCCTCCACCACGATAAGGTGAAGGTTCAATCAATCAAACTTTATTTGTATGACACTTTTCATACATTTGAAATGCAACAGAAAGAACTTCACATGCAACAGAAAAATTTCAATACATGAATTAACCCCCCCCCCCATATATACGACAATTTAAACAGAAACATAAAAACTAAAAAACTAATCAACATAAAGCTCTTAAAAGTTATAGTAAAAATGAAAATGTATAGACAGTGTTGGGGAGTAACAGATTACATGTACCGGAGTAATCAGAGTACAAATGATGAGTAACTGTATTCAGTTACAGTTACTGTTTCAGTGAGTGGTAATTGGATTACAGTTACTTTGTTGAAATAAATGGATTATATGGCAGGATTTTCCTGTTTGTTTGTTTTTTTTTTATTCCAGTCATTGCCGGAAACTAAACCAGGACTAAACCAGGACTAAACCAGGATTGAACAGGACTAAATCCTGCTGTGTGGACGTGTCTCTTCTTCTATCAATAATATTTTTAATTTGGTTCAGTAAAGTCTGGGCTTTTTATTTTCTTTTAGCAGATAAAACTTCTTATGTGAAGATTTCCTCGTCTTTGTTTCTCTACAGAAAATCAAGTAATCCAAAGTAATCAGATTACATTACTCACTTTAAGTAATTTAATGGATTCTGTTACAAACTACATGTTGGTGTGTGTAATCTGTAATCTGTACATTTTAAAAGTAAACTTCCCCACACTGAAAATCCTGCACCTTCTACTTGTTTACACAGTTTTCCCTCCGTCACTTTTCCCTCCGTTACCATGAACTTTCTTAATAAAAAATCTCATGAGTCAAAAAGTCAGAGGTTTTTCATCCTAATCTTGTTCCATATGGTAGAAAACTATATGAAGCAAATATTCAAACCAGTTTGTTAAGGATATGTAAGTGAGAACCAAGAGTTATCACTGTTTGGATTTATTGACCAAAAAGTGCTGCATATTTCATTCCCTCCGTTACCGACATGAGTTTTTAATTTTTGTCAACAACTTGAAAGAATCTCACAGGTTTAACTTTACTCTGATACTTGACTTATTTCAATAGTCCCTCTAGTTTGTGAATAAGAGACATTTGAATGTCAAAAATCTGCCCCTGTTTCCCTCCGTTAACACTTGACCGAACCCTAAGTCGTCGAAAAATTGAAGTCTTCATGTACCTGACGTGGGGCTCGAACGATATGGATTTTTTTGCGGCCGATATGACATCGATAAAACAGGAGTTGGAGCTGTCGATATAAAAGTGGGTTTTAAATTGTGTTTGTTTAGGCGACATTTATTGTTATTCTGCGTCTTTACGTCAATATATCGATATTAAAACTGGTATTGAATGTCTTTAGAATGATGTTGAGCTGTATCAGAACAAGTTTAAGAGCACAAAGACTCGTCTACGCCCATGAATCCATCAGAAAATCCACTTCTAAAACATGGACGTGAACAGTTTCAAACACTGACACAGATCAGTCTGTCATGTCTGTGCTCAGTCGCACAAATATTGGGATTCCACTGGTTTTTCTTCTTCACTTCAATAGTGTCTGTTTTTAAATTTGCCCATAAAGAAATGCCTTCGCTGGAATCCAACAGATGAGCTGATTTGTGCCGTTAAACTCGTCCCTCAAATAACATCACAGTTCAAACTCGCTCGCATCAGCCAACAGTTTTACAGTGACTTTCACCTTTTTGTGGTAAATCAAATCTGAACAGGAGCGTGAACTTTCTTGATGATCACACGCTCCTGAAAATGTCTCTTATTATCTTCATTTTCTGTTTATTCTTTTTCTAAACACATGTTGAGTGAGAGCGTTGTGTCGCCGTGGTAACCGCGGAACATTCTTCCCCGGCGTGATGTCACTGTGGAACATTGGCGTTGCTAGGGCCGTCGCCGTGGTGGATGGAATCTTCCTTTGACGTGTCGTCAGTGCTTTACGACACGTAAAGTGCTTTAGTGCAGAAGTTTATAAGTGTAAGTGAGTCCTGCAGCAGAACTTCAGACGATCAGAACTTCAGACGATCAGAAGACAGAACAGAGTGAACTTCACACAGAGACACTCCGAGACTTTTCACTTTCACATTTGCACTTTCACTTACAACAGCATTTGTAAAAACATTACAACTGCCACAATGGTGAAGGCACTGAAAAACTTTTTCAACTTTTTCAAGAAAAAGGAAAGTTGTACTGGT